GTTTCGTCTGTGGCAAAGAGGATTGGAAGGTCTTCCCGCGAGCCTTCTCGAAGCGGGTTTTTGTCATGTTGACGTTTTCTGGGGAAACAAAAATTTTCGTGATTTTGATTGGTTTGCGCGCAGCGCAGGGTAGGACCCTATTGCGTGAGGTAATTTAAGAATAACTGAGAATGTTCTTTAATAATGGTTTTTATATATATACATGAGATTGGGTTCTAAACGCTACGATAAGCGCACTGAGGAAATCGGTTCCTTTAAAAAAAATTTTTTTGGTCTAGGCATTATTATATAGGAAATGTTAATATTTAAAGGAGTGGAGAGGAAATATGCTTCGGTCAGCCAGGTTCTTTATACCGCCCTATCTTGAACAACAAGCTTGGTCAATAAGGAATCTTTAACCATCTTAACAAGCTTTAAGGGATTTATTTTATGGCCCAAAATAATAGAGCGTAGTTAGAACAAAGTTCGAATGAAAGTTAGCGTTTTTTGTTTAATGTTTGTATCCTTTGAGTTTATCAGAATCAAGAGATCATAATAATCCTATGATGATGTCTTGCCAGAATATATTGAGCTAGTATAATGTATAATGTATCGCGATCACAGGAAAAAAATAACAGATTCCCATTTTTGGATATTTTAGGGAATTTAAAGAATACCCACAAAAATCCCAAATTTGGAAGAGTGAGACAAGTCCCAATCAGGGAACTTGGTTGGGAATTCCCTGGTTGGGACTTGTCTCACTTTGCCAAATTTGGGATTTTTATGGGTATTCTTTAAATACCCTAAAATATCCAAAAATGGGAATCCGTTATTTTTTCCTGTGGATGAATCAACGACCAACAAATAGAGTAACGCTTAATCGATATCAAACACTTCCTTGCAATCACGTGACTGTTACCCACCGCAAGCGACTAATCACCGAGGAGACGCACTTCACTCTCTAGTCAATCAGATGTAAACACGAAACGGAGCTGTGTCACGCTAACAATATTCTTCAAAATAATCTTCCGCGTCAGTTGGATTCCTTGTACCTTTAATTTACAAGATGGATACGCCAACAACAAACCTCGGCCTTCCAAAGCGAGAGGAAATAACCTGTCCACAGTGTAATAACATATACTCCAATCCCAAACAATTGCCCTGCTTACATGTTCTCTGCCTAGAATGCCTCAACAACTTGGCAACGACGACCGCACAAGACAAGATCAAATGCCCGATCTGCCAGATCGAAGTACATGTTTCAGACTCAAGCTCGATGGAAAATCTGCCAAATTGCCTCCATGTTAATAATTTGCTCGATATTTTGGCCATCAAAGAGCACCACGCTTCGAGTGTGACTTGTGTAAACTGTGATCAGACAGTCGAAGAGGCATCTTATTGTTTCCATTGTGACAGGTTCTGGTGTCAAGCTTGTTTGAATGCACACAATGTTTTGAAGGAGAACAAACTGTATCGTGTTTTGGCACTCAAAGAGATTGGAGACTTTGAAGATGTCCTCAAAGGTTCAGTCACCCCGTGTGGCCGGCCCATCGTCTGAGCAAAAAGATCATAGTAGTGAAGACATGACTGCCTTAATAAATGACATTTCCCGTAAGCTTAATGCTTCAAGAGAGCCATCAAGAAAAATCACCAGTTGCATTCACGTTCTGGAGGAGAACACCCGTCTACTGGATTACCGTTCTAGGACCAACAAGGAACACATACAACGAACAGTCAATGCTCTTATCTTGACAGTTCAACAGAAAGAGCAAGAATTGGTGGCTGAAGTAGGAAACCAGACCATCAAAGCGAAAGAACCACTCGAAAAATCCAAAGGCGAATTACAGGAGCAATTAAAACAGAGGGAGCAATTTATTTCACAGATTGAAGCTCTTATCCAACGCTGCAAGACTGCTGGATTACTACCGAGTACCAAACTAATAATAGATGAGCTATTTGAAGGACTCCAAGAGCTAGAAGACCCAGACATGTTATCCACCACTGAATGGAAAACTGTTACTACGTTTGCTAAAAACAACGAAATATTTCAATCCCTTCAAAGTCTCGGAATCGGCCACCTTACTACCACGAAAACTGCAACAGAGGCAAACCAGTGCGCGGTAAAATGGTTTCAGAAAGCTACAGTCGGGCTGGAGGCAGAAATTGAAGTGATCACCAGGGGTTCCGAGGGTAAACAGTGCTACTGCCCAGGGGATTATATCTCTCTGCAGCTTATCTCAGCAGAGGATCGCAACACTGTGGTTGAAACCAAAATCACCGACTACAATAATGGCAGTTACAAGATTTCTTTCATCCCAAGTGAGGGTGGACATCACTTACCAACCATTCAAGTAAATGGAGAAACCGTTGGTGGTTTTCCACCCCTTCTTATCAACCAACGGTCGTACTTGCCTGTCAGAGCCATTATGGACGGAATTATAGAGACCCAGACTCTTCAGCACAATGTTTTTCACCGCGTGGCTCAGGCTTCGAGACCTCGCTCAAGAGAGATGGAGGAGAAGACTTTAAAACGTCCTTGGGGAGTGACTGTTAATGACAAAAATGAAATCTTTGTAACTGACTTAGGCAACAATCGAATCGTAGTTTTCAACAAAGCAGGAACGTTCATCAGGTCCTTTGGACACAAACTGGTAAAACATCCAACTGGAATATGTATAAATAGTAAAGGTATGATTTTCGTAGTAAATAGAGGTAACGACAAAATTTTAGCGGAGCTCCACGCGCGCGAAGCGCGCGTGTGGGCGGAGCCCCATAGCTAAGGAAATCTACCCATCCCAGAAAATTTGGTAATCACGTGACCGACCGACCGACCGACCGACCGTCCGTCCGCACCACAGGCATACCAATGTTTACTCTCACACTTTCTAGCTACTTTGGAAGCCCAGGAGAAAGCTGATTGCACATCAATGTTGTCATCAATTGACAGCTGTCAAAATAGGGTATCCGCTGACCACTATCACCTGACCGAATCGCGGGCTCAGGTGTCGACCCATCGAGGTCGAGTATTTTTTTGAAGTTATCCGCTGACAATTTACTCGTTTTCAAATGATCGCAGGCTCACGTTTACTTTTGTTTTAAATTCATATCAAATATGTTGTGTTTATGTCAGTATCGCCCCGCACTATTACGATTTTGATTTCAAACTGACTTCAGACGCAAAAATTCAGCCAGTTTTTTTTTAAATACAGGCGGGGAAGACCTTTTCTTACCATGGTCACGTGTTGGTCACGCTCCCCGTCCAATTTTTATGCTCTGATTGGTTAAAATTTGACAGGTGAGTTCATGCGTAAAATTTATGCAGCATCTTGAAAGTTGTTTACTTTGACAGCTGAAGCTGACAGAGTTTTGAGTCAACTGTGATGTTTTTAACTGTCTTTTTCCACTGGATGTACAAAATGAAATACAGCTGCTATCAAGAGTGTTCTCTTATTCATGGCTGGTTTCTTTATTGGGTTTTTGGTTGAAAAATGCGTCGCTTGTCAAAGCCGATAATCCGATTTCGGATGGCATCGTTTTTGTTTTTCACCTTGCTGGATGCGTACGAGAATTATAAAGGCTCAAGCGATCCTTGTCTTACTTGATAGCTTTCAGGAGCTGCATCTCGAAATATGGTAAGCCTGAGTAATTATTGTATTTATATCTAATTTCATGAAGTCCAGCGGCGCAGTTTATGAAGCTAGTTCATGCACGTTTCTATTAAGATTTGACTGAGACACTGATCTGACTTCGTATGAGGTTTGATATAAGCTTAAGCTTACAGAACTTTCAAAAGCCTTTAGTCGATATTAATTCACCTTAAATAGAAAGAAAAAATTTTCCGAAGAATATTTAGTTATAATTTTGGCTGTAGAAAGAAAGCTTTGAACGATTTTCTTTTCGTGAGTTCATCTTTGAAAACAGCCAACACCGGGAAACCGGCGGCATAAACATAAACTTTAAGCTTACTAGTAAAGACTTGAGGATTCTTAGACACACTTAAATACTCATTTGTTTTCGTGAATGAAAATTGTTGTCTCTGTAAATGTTCTATCGAATTATTTTTCTTTATTGATTTTTGGTAGTCTCAAAAGTGTAATTTTCATCGCTTTGCCGTTTGTTTTCAGCCGTTCGTAAACATCGCTCGCAGGAGTAGCCAAGCGTACGTATCAAACGCTTTTTAAGATTACACATCGTTATAAAACCGTTAAGAAAAAATAGACTCAATAAATTCTTTATCACGTTGAAGCGTAACTCTTTTAAAATTTCTTCGCAAATTTGGCGCTTGTCAAAAGGTTAGAACCGGCTGGTTGTATAGGTGATTTTGGAAATTTTTTGAACGGTTTCGCTAATTAAAAGTGCACGCGTGCCTCTATGGTCCTGAATATTGAATGAATGCAATTTGTCTTGAAAAGTTGTGAAATACTGCATTTTGTACGAGGTCTGTATGATAAAAACAGCGCCTCATAGTACTCTTTCTCCTCAGATGTGGTGTATAAAAAAAAAAAATAAAAGATTGGTTTGCACGCACCCAGATTTATTGGCAAGAATTTGTAAACTTGTCGAACGCAAAAAATTCGGTCTGATTTGTTTTCCAAGAAATTTTTTTTGCACGCCTTATCTACGGTGATCAAGAGCCATCATTGCTCTTAAATGTGACCGAAGACTATTTTTTGGGTGTACATATAAGGCTATATCAACTCGATACAAAATTTGTTTCACTCCAAAATCACTTAGCTTTTCCCTCAAAAGTCACATGAATGTGCCCTTACGTTAACTGATTTGTGGAATACAAAATTATTGTTTGATTTAAGTTATAAATTTATCAATGGGAGCTTCGCTTTTAGCTGTGGCTAAATATATATATTACTTTTTAATTCCAAGGGAGAATATGTTACAACAGTTCACAATGGTGACTTGCTGAAGCACCCACGGGGAATATCGCTAGATCCGCAGGGGAATATTTTTGTCTGCGACACGGGAAATAAATGTGTTCGTTTTCTTTCTCCCAATGGAAGCATTTTAAAGACAATCGGAAAGGGTGGGTTACAGTTCCCATTTGACTGTTTGTCGCACAATGGGAAAGTTTATGTCTCGGATCGTGATTCCCTGCTTATTAAGGTATTCAGTGAAAACAATGGGAGCATTTTGCATGAGTTTGGTGTTCAATCATTGGAGCCATTAGGACTAGCAATGGATAAAACAGGCCACTTCTTGGTGTCTGGAATTCTGTCAAATTACCACAGGGTTTATGTTTTTATTATGGATGGCAGGCATGTCACTAAATTTGGGGGATCATTTGGTGGGGAGTTGGGACAATTGAACACACCTACTTCTGTTTCGGTTTTAACAAATGGTCGTATTGTTGTTTGCGACAGTCTAAATTCCCGTCTTCAAGTTTTTGCTTAGTTCAATGCTGTTGAGTGCAAATCTGACTCTTGCCTAGTCAAGATTTCTGAACAGTTTTTACGGAACATTTTGTATAATATTTTTGAATGAAATTCTCAACGTGACATTGCTTCAGTATGCAGTCAAATATCTCCAGGACGGACACTGTCTTTGGAACAGGCACTAAGAGTCAAATAGTCAAATAAAGGGAGTAAAGTAAGGCAGGGACCAACTCTAGGTGTCTATTTTACCAATGTGTCCGTCTTATGGAGGTGTTCGTTTTAGAGAGAGTCGACTGTACATCAAACATATTGAATCTTGATCAAAATTATCTAATGCGCAACACAATAACATATTTTTCTGCGCATGTTCTGGTACTGTGCGGACGTGTGTTATTGAGCTCCGCACTAATAGTGAAATTTTGTGTGAAATTCTGATAATGACTCGAAAGTCAAATTCAAATCCCAGTGCCAAATCCCTTCAAGAAGAAAACGAAGCTTTGAAGAAAGAAATAGAAAGTCTGAAGAGTGAATTTAAACGTATTCCAGTTAATCTAAGCTATGTAAAAAAGTAACTTTTTCTCCGTGCCATACCTTTTGTACAACTTAATATATTTATATAAGCTTAAATAACTTTTGTGGACCTAGGCCTGTTAATTTAATATAATACCATGAGTGCGCATTTTGTTTTAAAGAGACACTACCCACCTAGACTAGCCTTTGCTATTTGTGGGCTATTTGAAGAGTAGGAATACGTGTAGTTAACTCTTGTTTACGTTTCTTCAGACGTTATTTATATGTCAACTTGCGCTTTCTAACATTGGAATCCCTGGCTGGGAGTGCTTCTAAAATCCTGTTAACTCGCACGGTACTGGCGTGCTGAATGGAAGTGTTGTAGACCGCTCTTAAGTGAGTTTTTATCTTAAGTATATTTGCACGTACAAGCCGCCTCAAATGGCTTTGCTAGCCGTCAACAGTGCTTATTTGTATTTAAGCAATAGAGACGGTTATGCAAACCCTCGACTTCGTCTCGGGTTTGCATAACTGTCTCGAATTCTCCCAACCCCTCTCGTGTTTATATCAGGCTATGCAAACACAGGAAAAAAGTTTTCTATTGCTTTTATAAAATACCTTTCCCGAGAAAAAAACGCAAAACTCTTTGTATGGTACTGGTTAGAAGAGAAATTCTTACCGGTCGCAAAATCTTGTCCACGAAGTCTTGCACGCGTAATCAGTTCTTGTTTTGCCAAAAGATGCTTTGTAAAATACGGACTTTTCTCGCTTAAAATGTCAGCTTAAGCGAAGAAAAATTGACTCACCTTCTTTGCAACAATTTTCCCTCTTTCAGCCGACGAAGTAATGGGTTAATAAAGTAAACTTGTCGAGTTTTGAACTCGAAAACTTTTTCAAATTCGTGCTTGCGTGATTAGCGCGCGAAAAGCCAAACAACTTGACGCCTCAACCATGTTTACATACTCTCATGTAAACACTCCTCTCAGCCAATCAGAGCGCGCGTACTATCTTAGTTATTTTACAAAAAAAAATTGCAATTACCAATATATATTGTTGTCGTTGTTGTTGTTTCGTTGTCGTTACCTGCGCTCCGCGGGGATTTTCTGTCGCACCATCTGCCCCACTTCTTATGAGCACCTGCAACACAGGCTACTAAAAATTCTGGCCCCAGTTGTTCAAACGTTGGATAGCGCTATCCAGCGGATTAGTATTAGGGAAAGTAATTGTACTATCCACTGGATAGAGATTTATCGGGTGGATAGTGCTATCCAGCCTTTGAACAACCAAGGCCTGGTTAAGGATTGGTAACAATTTTTCAGTAAATTCTAATTCAATCCGAAATAAGATCAACAGAGTGCACTTTAAGTGTTCAAACCTTACCTCTGAGACTCACCGGTCTCGGTTGGTTGTTGATAATATATATTATGAACGTTACTTAAATTTTACAAGAACTGAGAAGAACATTACGTGGTCATACGGACAGCATAACCAAATGTGAGTCTTCTGACAGTCTGAGTATGTATGAACGATTTTGAAGGATGGATTTGTATACTGGAAAACTGTACGATGCTCGTATCCACCAAACGTTTCCATGTGGGCTCTTTGAATTTTTTCTTAATTTAAAACATCATATCTGCTTACCTTCAAACGTCATTGTTATAGCAGCAAGCCTTTTCCGAGGAGTTGACGGTACCTGCGAGGTAACTGCGAAGTCTTTGATGTAAATCGGAACAATTAACTCAAATTCTTAGTTGTCAATGATTTAGATGAAATTCATTTCCATTTTAAAGGTGCCTGACCTTATTTTCAAAGTGAAGTTTTTTGGGAAACTCAATCGGGAATGACTTAATTGACAAGCCTCAGAAAACAACCGACATTTCGTACCACGCCACAACTGGTTTCCCCACGAAATGACGTCTGAGGAACGAGGGCAGAAATTTCAATCTGGTGACGTGATACTACCCAGACCTTGGTGGTGCTTCTGATTGGTTTATGCAAATCTCCTTCGCTGCATGACCAATTAGAAGCACTACCCAGATTTTTGTATTGGCACGTCATTAGTATGGAATATCTGCGCTCTTTCCTCAGACGTCATTTTGCCGGGAAACCAGTAGTGGCGTCGTGAAAAGTCGCCCGTTTTTTAGGCTACTATTTGACTAGTTCGTCATGTTCTTTCCAAATCTGCGGCTATTCTTTTCGTTAAAGTTCGAATTCTAAGGGCAAATTGGTGACTTTTGGAAACTTTCTATTTCCTCCAAACATTATAAGAAATATTAATGTTAACATTTAAAAGAATGTATACGTAGAGGAAATATGGCAGACAAAAGCGCACAATTATGACCGCTGCATAAAGATTAGACGAGCTCCGTGAGATGGCGAAAAAATCGCCATGAAATTGCTTCTAGTTTTTACAGGCGATTTGAAAGAGTGCCTAAAATCTTAAAATCTCAGCTCTTGTCGCGTGACAACTAAAAATCACTTGACGTGTAAACACGTGCCCTAAAAGAGTCTAGGTTGCGGCATAAGATAAATTTAACTTCGAATCGGCAAAAAAAATTTTTTAAGCTTGATAGTCGTCTTTTGACAAAACTTCCTTAGAGTTACTCCCGTATATATAAGCTGTATAGGCAAATCCTTGTTTACATAGTTTTTTGCCTTATTAACATACGCTTATCATCATCTCAGTGATTACGCTAATGAAATAAAATCTCTGAATAATTATTAAAAGCACATAAAAATTTTAGTTATCTCTGAAAATTTTGGCCCGATATACTGAATAGTTTCGAAGATTCACTTTGGAAAACCCCAAACTTCACGGCAAACGTTTTTGTCACACCCAGCAATTTCGCATTTTTGATTGCTGCTATTTCTTTTGTTATTGATCGTAAAGAGCTGAAAGTTGCGCAAACTGCTCAAATTTACCAGCTCTTTCAAACCAAACTTGTAGTATACGGCGTCGTCTTTGATGGGTTAACTCATATACTAATGAACAAAAATGTTAATGACTTCAGCAAGGTTTCGCCAAAAGACCAAAGGATGTGGGTTTTTTTTGCCGCGCCAAAGGGTTTCGTTTTTCATCTCTTTGGTGTAATGCCCCACTCGCAACAAAGCTCTAACATGTTTGAAAGCTCTTAATAAGTTTAACACGGTTAAAATGTGTTTCCATTCAAAGAAGCTGCCCTATGATTTTTGTCAACTAAGAATTTGGACAAATAAAATCATAAGTCAAAGCTATTCCCTTAGCTTTCTTGCATTAATTTTTATTTCAGTAAGCCCGAACGTCATTTCATCAGTAGCTGGAATATGATCTTCCGGGTGAGGGTAGTCCTGAATAGGACTGTTGATGTTGACAGTGACTAATGTTCTGACAAACTGTGGGGTAGTCATCTTCACGGTCAAAGTGACTGGTATCACTTCAGTGATACAAAGTTGGGATTCACGTCGGTGATACAACTCACTTTGTTCGGTCAAGATGGCTGAATGTTAGCCACTGAAGATCTTTTTGTCCCGCCATCCCAGTTCACTGAACAGCAAGGACTTGTTATTTTTAATAGGATTTTTATTTATTTCATGTCTCGCTAAAAAAGTTTTAAGTCATAAGTTTCCTTAAGGAGAGACTTGACCAGTCGCTAATGCCCCTATAATAAATTGTTCTTTTACACCAATCAATTTTAGGGTTACGGAATTTCGGCAAATAACTGTTCCTTGTGTTATTTCCATGCATGATCTCTTAAAGTTATTTTATGTCACCAGATGCTCTCACTGACATTTTCCCATCTACAGCAGGTTTGGACAGCAGAGCAGCAGTGAGCAAAACGTCGTCCAGCCAGGAGGATCCATTTGAGGGGACTGACTGCTTCAGACGATGACAACATATAACCTGCTAGAATCCTTTGAGTTGACCAGAATATATTGGACTATAGATAAAATTTGCGTTTCTCGCAGTTTAAGTTTCAAAAAGCAAAATGTATTGCGTAGAGTCACTGGGTAAGAAAAACACTTACGATATCAAACACTTCCGTGTAATCGCGTGACTTTTACGCACTGAAAGCGACCAATCAAAGAGGACACGCGCTTCACTGGCCAGTCGCAACGGAGCGGTGTCATCCTACTAGAAAATTAGTAACAATATTCTTCAATATAATCTGCCGCATCACTTGGATTCCTTGTACCGTTTGTTTACAAGATGGATACGCCAAACCTCGGCCTTCCAAAGCGTGAAGAAATAACCTGCCCACAGTGTAATAACATATACACCAATCCCAAACAATTGCCCTGCTTACATGTTCTCTGCCTTGAATGCCTCAACGACTTGGCAACGACGAGCGCACAAACTGACAAGTTCAAATGCCCAATCTGCCAGATCGAAGTGCATGTTCTAGACTCAGGCTCGATGGAAAATCTGCCAAATTGCCTCCATGTAAAGAATTTGCTCGATATTTTGGCCATCAAAGAACATCACGCTTCGAGTGTGACTTGTGTAAACTGTGATCAGACAATCGAAGAAGCATCTTATTGTTTCCATTGTGACAGGTTCTGGTGTCAAGCTTGTTTGAATGCACACAACGTTTTGAAGGAGAACAAACTGCATCGTGTTTTGGCTCTCAAAGATATTAGAGACTTTGAAGATGTCCTCAAAGGTTCAGTCACCCCTGTGACCGGCCCATCGTCTGAGCAAAAAGATCATAGTAGTGAAGACATGACTGCCATAATAAATGACATTTCCCGTAGGCTTGATGCTGCAAGAGAACCATCAAGAAAAATCACCAGTTGCATTCACGTTCTGGAGGAGAACACCCGTCTACTGGATTACCGTTCTAGGACCAACAAGGAAGACATACAACGAACAGTCAATTCTCTTATCTTGACAGTTCAACAGAAAAAGCAAGAATTGGTGGCTGAAGTAGAAAACCAGACCATGAAAGCGAAAGAAAAACTCGAAAAATCCAAAGGCGAATTACTGGAGCAATTAAAACAGAGGGAGCAATTTGTCTCACAGATTGAGGCTCTTATCCAACGCAGCACGATTGCTGGATTACTACCGAGTACCGAACTAATCATAGATGAGCTATTTGAAGGACTCCAAGAGCTAGAAGACCCGGATATGTTATCCACCACTGAATGGAAAAGTCTCACTATGTTTGCTAAAAACAACGAAATCTTTCAATCCCTCCAAAGTTTCGGAATCGGCGATCTTGCTACCAAGGAAACTACAACAGAGGCAAACCAGTGCTCGGTAAAATGGTTTCAGACTGCTACAGCCGGGCTGGAGGCAGAAATCGAAGTGATCACTAGGAATTCCGAGGGAAAACAGTGCTACTGCCCAGGAGATTATATAAATTTTCAGCTAATCTCAACACAAGATCGTGACACTGTAACTGAAACGAAAATCACTGACTATACTGATGGCAGCTACAAGATTTCTTTCATTCCAATTGAGGGTGGACATCATTTACCGACTATACAAGTTAATGGAGAAACAGTTAGTGGTTTTCCACCCCTTCTCATTAAAGAACGGTCGTTCTTGCCTGTCAGAGCCATTGCAGACGGAATTATGGAGACCCAAAGCCTTGCGGGTCAGGCGTCGAGACCTCGCTCCAGAGTTATGGAGGAGGATACTTTAAAGCAACCTTGGGGAGTGACTGTTACTGAGAAAAGTGAAATCTTTGTAACTGACTTGCAAAGTAATCGAATTGTAATTTTTAATGAAGCAGGAAAATTTATCAGGTCCTTTGGGCACAAACTGGCTAAAAATCCAACTGGAATATGCATAAATAGTAAAGGTATGATTTTCGTAGCAAACAGAGGAAACGACAAAATTTTACTTTTTAATGCCAAGGGGGAATATGTTACGGCAGTTCACAATGGTGGTTTGCTGAAGCAGCCACGGGGAATATCGCTTGATTCGCAAGAGAATCTTCTGGTCTGCGACACAGGAAATAAATGCGTTCGCTTTTTTTCTCCCAATGGAAGCATTTTAAAGACAATCGGAAAGGGTGGGTTACAGTTCCCATTTGACTGTTTGTGTCATAATAACAAAGTGTTTGTCTCGGATCGTGGTGCCCAACTTGTTAAGGTATTCAGTCAAAGCAATGGGAGAATTTTGTATGAGTTTGGCGGTAAATCGTTAGGGGAACCCTTAGGACTAGCAATGGATAAAACAGGCCACCTTTTGGTGTCTGGAATTCTGTCAAATTCCCATAGGGTTTATGTTTTTACTTTGGATGGGAAGTTTGTCACAAAATATGGAGGATCCTTTGGTGGGGGGTTGGGACAATTGAACACACCTACTTCTGTTTCGGTTTTAACAAACGGTCGTATTGTTGTTTGCGACTGTAGAAATTCTCGTCTTCAAGTTTTTGCTTAGTTTGATGCGGTTAATTGCAAATGTGACTCATGCCAAGATTTCTGACATTTGTTACGGAACATTTTGTACTACAGTTTTTGTACGACACTTTTGACATGAAGTTACTTTAAGATGATGTTACACGAGACGATTCGCAACGACGATTTTTAGCGCAACACAGCGTTGTTATGTAGGAACAATATTGTACCTATTCGAAACAATGTCGCAACAATGCTGCAACGCTGTGTGTTGCGCTAAAAATAGTCGTTGCGAATCGTCTCGTGTAACATCACCTCTAGTATACAGTCAACTTTCTCTAAAGGTGATGTTACACGGGACTATTCGCAACGATGATTTTTAGCACAACACAGCGCTGCAATGTTGGAGCAATGTTGTAATCAAACGAAACAATGTCGCAACAATGCTGCAACGCTGTGTCGCGCTAAAAATCGTCGCTGCAAATCGTCTCGTGTAACATCATCCAAAGACGGACACCTTTGGGATAGGAGCTAAGTTTCCGTCTTATAGAGAGTCAAAAAAAGGGAGTAAAGAAAGGCAGGGACCAACTCTAGATGTCCGTTTTACCGAGGCCTCCGTTAAGAGAGAGTCGACTTTATTGCTTTAGTTCTTTGTGCTTCGCAGATTAAAGTGATCCTTGGTTATAAGGGCTCTAATGCAGATGTTTAAGGATTAGATTGAGTAAGGTTAAGTGTACACTGAAAACGATGTGTGTATGTCCTAAAGCGTTTGTAAAAAACTATTGTGAACTAACAGACCGAGACATAAAGGATATGAGACTGAAAGGGCATTTTTGTTCATTTCGTTTAGCAAACTGGAGTTTGCCTTGTGATATGGTAGTGACGCTTGATCGAATTTTAGTTATATTATTGTTTGTGGTCAACTCTCTCTAAGACGGAAACCTTTGGCAACGACACTGAGTGTCCGTCACGGTCTTAGAGAGATGTCCGTCTCATAAAGAGTCATGTAAAGGCAGGGACCCACTCTAGGCGTCCGTTTTACCGATGTGTCCGTACTATAGAGGCGTCCGTTAAGAGAGAGTCGACTGTATTTCAAACGTTTTGGAGATTAAAACTATCTAATGCCGAACACAATCATATATCTTAATTACTCATATTATTGTTAACTTCCTTACTGCGGTAAATCCAAAATAAAAAGCGCGTTCTATTGTCGGTATTGAAGACTGTAGGAAAACGCGAGATTACGTCTTGTTAGTGTTTATCTAGACATGATTTGTTAACATTGAAATCCATTTTAGCTGGTTGGAAGGGTTATAGACCTCTCTTAAGTGAGTTTTGATCATAACTATAATTGAATGGACAATCCGTCTAGAATAGCTTTGCTAGCTGTGGGCAGTGTTTATTTTTTTTTTAATAAATTTAACTGGGAGAATTACCAATAAACTTTTGTTCTTGTTGATGGTGTTCATAACGTTGATGTAGTTGTTGTTGTTGTTGCTGTTTTATTGCTGTTACCTGAGCGCCATGGGGGCTTTCTATCGCACCCGACCTATTTCCCCCGGCTTTGCCCCTCTTTTTATACGAGCACCTGCAACACAGGCTTCTAAAATTCTGGTTATGGATTGTTCACAATTTTCCATCCCAATTCAAACTAGAATAAGGTCAATGGAGTGCATTAACTCTTTGATAAGAGAGTAGTTTTACGAGAACCTTAGCATTCCAAATAGCTTCATGTCGAGTCAGAAATTGAGAGAGCTGAGTTTTTAAATGTGATGTTCTGAATCAGATATCTGCTTTGCAAAGTGATTAATCATGGACGCAATAGTCGATAAGGCGTGCATAGGTCGATGAATATGCTGTCAGCTAACGCCTACCAACTTATTTTACACGTGCACTGACGTTTCTCAGGGAACAGTGTCCCAATGTAAAAAGTGCTTTCGAGCCGGGTTAGCAAACAAGACAGGTCTCCGCCTTTTTAATTTTATGGTGATAATTCAGTCCAAGCAAGATAGTCAACTAGACTGGCATGGAGACAAACAAAAGAAAAATGACTCAAGAAGTTAGAACTAGGGTCTTACTGAGCTGAGGCCACCTTCATTGCCGGGGATTAGCGAGACCATTGGACTGAGAAGGATGATTCCCTGCACCCGCTTCCCTTGGAGGAACTATGATGCATGATTATCTTCGAGAATTCAAGGAAATGACCGGTCGTTTTAGTTATATCCTAAGGACAGGCCTTATATTTGCCTTCTGGTTGACAGAAAGACGACATCGCCAGTGATCGTGAATTGCACTTGCAATTTTCGGTATCAATTTATCAGTTGCACTCTGATTTAAAGCGTTCAGTGCTCAGTAACTAACAGGTGATAGATGGGCTATCAGGAGGGCAATGCTAAAAGTACCTTGCAGTAAAACGTAAAAGAGGGCTAGTGCACTGGATATATCGCGCAGTGTCAACACGCCCTCCATGGAAACCGGCCAAGTGTTGTTGGGGCTAGTGTGTTTCTCTAGTAATATGAATTTTTAAATAAAGTAGTACCGACCAACCTACCTTCATTTTGAGGTTGAACGCGAAGACTGGGTCAGCGTTGGGACGAATTGCACTATGGGATGGGGACACTATCGCTTTCATATGCCATTTCCCAGCTGCCTGAAGCCTTTGTTTCAAAGCGCAGCTAAGTGTAGCCTGCGTAGCAAGTGTTTCCGTTTAGTTTCGGAGCAAAAAAAGACCGAGGAACGGGATTTTCGGTTTTGATCGCGCGGGAAATGAAACGAGAGCCAGCCCCTCCCCGCTCTTTCACTTACGCCATTTTTCGCGCGGTCTTTGACTCTTGTTCCTCGTTCTTTGCTCCTAAACCGCACAGAAACGCTTTCTACGGAGGCTAAGCTAAGTGCAAAACCATTAATATGAAAATAATTTTTATTTTCATGCAAACAAAACTCGTTTTCAGTCAAGATGCTTTCCACTTCGTTTTGCACCTCGTTTTGAAAGTGAGAGTTTTTGGAACTCTGAAATGGCCCATTGGTTTTCACAAAGTTGCGCGAGAAACTGGGTCAAACTGACTGGATCGGTGTTGTGTTACATTATGAGACTACGCAGCTGTCATTTCTTTCATTGTGTAAGGCGAAGTTGCGCGAGAAACTGGGTCAAACTGACTGGATCGGTGTTGTGTTACATTATGAGACTACGCAGCTGTCATTTCTTTCATTGTGTAAGGCGAAGTTGCGGGGAAACTGGGTCAGAATTCATCCTCCACAACATTCCCCATAGTGAGCATAGTGAGCATGGTGCGTTTCGACACTAAGTCCGATCCAGTATGAAGTCCGACCGCAAAATGGTCAATACTTTCGCTTGTTTATTAGGTCCGGTGATTTCGTATATATAGTGGAGGTTATTCATAAGTATGTTAGTTGCACGTTACCCAAGAGCCCCATCTTAACTTAGCCTCGAGGCTTTACGAGCTTTTCAAAAAGTTTAGTGAAGCTTTAAGTATACAGTTTCAACGGGCGAATGTCGATCTCTTAGCCAAAATGTAACTTCAGTCTCCGTAAGGCTGATACGCTGGACATGACGACCCGCCAAAGAGCGAGTTCATTGCATAGCAGTTAAGGAGAATGAATGAAATTATCAGGCCAGCTATTGTTAGCATCCTGCGGAAGCTCAACCCAGGTTACCTCTCAACAACTCCTGGACACAATCTCCCCTTACCCATTTACCTCCCAAACATTCTCATGCAAGAGCAGAGTAAAGAAAATATAAGATAATTACTTTTATTTTGACTTAATAACTATCAGTGGTCCCTACAATGTGACTTTTCTTTTTTATCATTATTTTGTTACTTCGTTGTCGTATAAACGGGTTAGATGTCTCCACTCCACCGAAGTGATCGTGAGTCAGACATATAAATCTACCTGGACAGAACAAATCTAAACACTGGTGTTTTTAAGCAGAAGAGTTTTGTGTCAAGTGAAAACTAAAGCCGACGCACGCATAAACACAATTACATAAGAGTCTGGAACCACGAAGCACTAAGAAACTTTTATTTTCTGTGGCCTTAGTTCACGAAAACACACTTGCTATTATTTTTAGGACCAGAGAAATTGTTGGGTTATTCATCTATTGTTTGTTTAGCTAATATATAATATATTGAATAAACCAAAACTTCTAGACGTACTCTTACATTAACAAGTAAACGCGAGCATCAGCGTACTAACAGGAAAAATTAAAAAAACCTGTTGAGTACCCGTGCTTATTTGCCCTTTATTTGCCACATAGATAAATTACAGAAAAGAAAGATAAATGTAGAAAGCAATGGCGAGGAGGCCTAAAGGAAACTATATAGCTTATGTTAATTAGGCCTCCTCAATTACAACATAATCACCCTTATGCTTTGCTTGCCCTCATTAATCAGCGTCAATGCATATATACTGATCTGAACTACTTATCTGGACATAAGTGCATCCTGAAGCACCCTGTTCCAGTACGTTAGTTAGGTCTAAGCCTTTCAACTAATTATAATTTAAAATACCCTTTATTTGGCAAAGTCGTGTTGACTGTTACAGCCCCACACGTCAATTTCATTTACAATTTATGTTCCTGCGGATGATAATAAAAATAGGGAAAATATGCCACTTAAAACTCTGATGATAAGCATCCAACGGCCATTCGGGCTACAATGCCAATAACCATTAAGAATACAGCAGTGGTTATCTGAGTCCAAAATATTACTTTAGAAATTTTGAGAGGGTAAAAAAGTTATACTATTGACAGCTTCGATCACCAAAAAGCGCTTTGCGCAATTAATGTAAAGTCCTAGAACTCAGACAAGCAAATTGAAACTGACATTAGCATATTCCTCACTTTTGCCTGATTTCTGTCATTAAAAAGTCGTTTGCCTGACTTTTTTCACCCAAACAAACATTGCATATCAGTCACTTTGTCCAAGTCATTTATACTATTTATGCGCTGCTCCATTTTGTATTTTGTAATAAGTTTATATCACTCAAATCGATATTGGCCATTGTCACTTAAAGTATCATAAGAGCTTCACCTCATGGCCAAGCTAGACATGCTATATGACTTAATTGTCACATATATTATTCAGTCAAACACCTGTAAACGGCAGTTTTCAAATTCGCAAACAACAATACGACCCTTTGTTAAAACAGTAACATTGGTAGGCTTTCCAAATTGGCCCAGCTCTCCCCCACGTGATCCCCCAAAAGCATTGACAAAACGTCCTTCTAAAGTGTATACAAATACTCTATGATCATTTGAAAAATTCCCTGAAGAAACCAAAAGATTACCTAGTCTATCCAAGGCCAGTCCAAGTGGTTCTTTTAATGCTATTTCACTGTTTACATTCGTACATCTGCCAAACTCATACAGAAATCTTCCATTGCTGTGGTTGTAAACTTTAACTAGATTGGCACTACGATCAGAGACAAAGACTTTATCCTGGTAACACAGACAGTCAAAAGGAAAGTTTAGTCCACCCTTTTCTCCTATCTTTCTTAAAAAACTTCCATTTGGAGAAACAAATTGAAGACAGTTATTTCCTTTGTCGCAGACAACAAGATTTCCCTCGGCATCTAGCGATATTCCCCGGGGTTCTTTAAGCAAATCACCGTTGTGAACTACCGTTATATATTCCCCCCTGGAATTGAAAAGTAATATCTTGTTATCACCCCTGTTTGCTACATAAATCCTACCTTCATTATCTATGCATATACCCGTTGGTTTGTTAACGCAATCCTGTCCAAAGGATCTGATAAACTCCCCATTTTCATCGAAAACTGCAATTCTATTGTTGTCCATGTCACTGACAAAGATCTGATTTAAGTCATTAACAGTCACTCCCCATGGGCTCTTTAACCTGTTCTCTTCAATCCATCCCGAAGCATCAGATACCAGGCCCATGAGACTCTCAGTGAGAGTTGGTGCCTCAACAACTCCATTTGCAATCAATCGAACTGGGAGAAAAGACCTTTCTTTGATGAAAATCGGTGGGAAATCGCCGATGATTTCTCCATTGACTTTAACGGTTGGTAATTGTTGCCCAGCTTCACCTGGAATGAAAGAGACCTTGTAATTGCCATTGTTGTTATCAGCGATCTTGATTTCTGTAACAGTGTTTCGATCCTGTGCAGAGATTAACTGTAAAGAGACATAATCTCCAGGAAAATAGCATTGTTCTCCCTCCGAATTCCTGGTAATGACTTCAATTTCTGCCTCCAGCCCGGCTGTAACTGCCTGGAACCATTTCACCGAACACTGGTTTGCCTCTGTTGTTGTTTTTCTGGCGGCAAGATGACCGATTCCTAAGTCCTGAATTGATTTTGAGATGCCCTCGTTTTTCGTAAACATAGTTACAGTTTTCCAGTCAGCGGTCGATGGCATATCTAGGTCTTTCAGCTCTTGGAGATTTTGGAATAGTTCATCCAACATTTTTTTGGCGTTCACGCATTCCACTTCCGTATTGCGTTCAACAAGGGCTTCTATCTGAGATACCAATTTCCCCCTTTTATTTAACTGAACTTGAAATTCTTCTTTGGTCTTGCTTAGCTGTTCCTGTGCTTGAATTGCTTGATTTTCAGCTTCGGTTATTAATTCTTGTTCCTTTAGTCGGAGAGTCAAGACTAATGATTTGACTGTTAGCTCAATCTGTTCCTTGATGGTCTTAAAGCGATATTTGAGTAAACGAGACTTTTCCTCCAACAGTTGAATGCAAAAAGAAATCGTGTCTAATGATCCTTTTGCAGAGTCAAGATTACACGCGATACTGTTGTTTACAGCTGTTGCAATAGTATTCTCTCCACGCTTAGCGTAATCAGATTGGCATACAGGACCTTGTTTCTGTTTGAGAATATCTTCCAAGTCATTGTCTTGAAATGCGCTAACAGCAACCACGCGATGTTCCTGATTATCCTTTAAAATATTGTGCGCATTCAAACAGGCTTGGCACCATAATTTGCCACAATGAAAACAGTACGATATTTCCTCGCTTTTCTCATCACAATTAGCACAAGTCACGTTTGAAGAGCTACCCTCTTTGATCGCCAGTATTGCGAGCAGATTCTGCAGCTGGTGAGAGCTTGGCAGAGCTTCCATCGTGCCGGTCTCCGGCACAACAACTTCAAACTGGCAAACAGTAGACGGACATTTGATCTTGCCATCATCGGTGCTTGTCCTTGCCAAGTCGTTGAGGCACTCGAGGCAGAAGACGTGAAGGCAAGGCAGCTGTTTTGGATGTTTGTATAAGTTACTGCACACCAAGCAGGTTACTTTTTCTTTCAGGCTTTGCGTGAGTAACTCTGAAGGGGCTGCCATTTTGTGAGCTTTCCACAAGCACGAGTATTTTAAGTTAATATTCCACACGGTCTTGTAATTGCAATGAAATGGGAAGATGACAGGCTCAATATAACACACTCATACAGCTCATAACAATGATTGGCTTTCTTCGATGAGAGCCTGTCATTGGCTACGCCTACGCGAAGTACTCAAGCTCAGGTCGTGTCAAAGAGAATCACAGACATCACGTAAGTTTTGCCTCAGTTGGTAAGAAAGGTAGAATAGTTATGTCACGAAGAAAGACGAGCTTTATTGGAAATAACCTTATTCTGATTTTACTGCATAGTACTGAATAGAATTAAACCGTTCTAGAGATGCTGCGTCCTACGACGCGATAATTAATGTCGCAAAGGCCAAAGGACCGTCGTTGCCATCCATTTTGGTTTAAAGGAAGGAAAATGCCCCAGAGGGAAAAATAAATATCGGCTGAATAATTTTTGTTGATAAATTATTCATCTCAGAAGTAAATGCGCAACATTTCTATGTTACGGCATAATTCTTCATGTCATAAAAAAACGAATTCAATAATTGTTTCAAAATATTTCTAAGTTTTTAACAATCGTAAGAACATATATCCCTCATGTAGAAAGGACACTGAGGTAAAAACAAACCATAGGTATTGCATGGAACTTGACACTCACTATACATCCCAGTGTTTGCCCTGTCCTATTGAAAACTGGAGCCGGAGACAAATTATTTTTCTAATGCTCATGAGTACACGAAACAGGTAGACACATTTCGGTGCTCGGCGCTGGATGAAACAAATTAAAATGGCACTATTCAATTAATGCAGTACTTCCCGCCTGATATAATCATACCGTTATTTTTAACGATTCATTGAAGCTTACAACCGGGACTAGAAGGAGTTATACGAATTAGTTCTGGATTAAGTTAATCATTTTAATCCATATTTACACTCATTTAGACTATCTGCACAATGTTAACTAGAATTATAGCAATTTCAAAAGAAGGAATCGTTCTTGGTAAAAGTAATCGTTATTATAACAATTGCATGTTTCAATCGTTCGTTTACCACCAAGGACTGATTCGCCTCCTTTATGTTTCCGTGACCAATCACAAAAAACAGTTGCATGATATCGTGACTGTTTTCCAGTTCGCGTGACAAATGTGAGAATTGTTACCGTTAAAAAATATACAGATTCCAAACAACTATGACCTATAGACCCGCAAAATGATTTAACGTCTTCTTAAATTCTAAGAAATGTAAACGAGACTCCCGGGGGGGGTACTCCCATACATTACCTATACGGGTATGTGCCGCCCAAAGGGGTCGTGATTTTGAAGCTCCTGATTTAGAACGGGGTATCCATTTCAGAGGCGTTTTCTAGAACGGGGTATAAAATTCGAACGCACGAAAGCTCCACTTTTGTAAGCGGCCATTTGAAAGTATTCAAGGACAGATTGCTTTTAAAAATACGGTTCAATGCGTTAACAAGCAAACTGTTGTACTCTTGTTGCATCCTAGAACGGAGTATAAAAAATTGGCCCATTTCTAGAACGGGGTATCAGTTTTAGGGCGAATACTAGAACGGGGTATAAAAAATTGGCCCATTTTTAGAACGGGGTATCAATTATTGGGGAGGTTTTTTCTAGAACGGGGTGCCAATTTGGAGTCCCGGGCGGCACATACCCACCCAAAAAATACCCAAGTGCCCCCCCCGGGACGAGACTATACGCAAAACTGATTTCAGCGTCGTATTATACCGTATGGGCTCTCCATGAATATTTCAAAAAAGCTAAGATCGACTTTAGAACAGTTTCGATATCTTTCATTCAAACAAGATGGATATCCCAACTCTGATGTACAATCTACAGCTGAATCTAAGGGAGGAAGTAACTTGCTCGGTGTGCATGCAACTGTACACAAACCCTAAGCAACTGCCTTGCTTACATATTTTTTGCCTTCAATGTCTGAACAACTTAGCTCAAACCAGCGCCCGTTATGACAAGATTAAATGTCCGCTCTGCCAGAGAGAAGTCGCAGTTCCCGGGAGTGGTACTTTGGAAACTCTACCTGACTGTTTTCACATGAAAAATCTACTGGATATTCTAGCCTTTAGAGAATGCAACAAGGCAAAGGTTACTTGTGGAAACTGTCAGACGAAACGCGAAGAAGCAGCCTATTGTTTTCACTGCGGCAAGTTCTGGTGCAATGATTGTTTAAACGGACATAACATTTTACGAGAAAACAAAGAACATCGCGTCCTTGCTCTCACAGACTTTGAAGACAAGGATTTTGAGCATGTTCTCAAGCGGCCAGTATTTTGTCAGAAAGAGCTCCATGACAAAGAAGTACTCAAGTTCTATTGTAAAGAATGTAATGTTCCCGTGTGTCAAACTTGTGTTATTGTAGAACATAATAAACATGATGTGGAGCATTTGGAAGTTGCTGCCAGAGAGGTGAAGGGAAGCATTGCTTGTAAACTAGACGTTGCGAAGGAATCGTCGAACACAATTTCCAACTGCATCAGAAAGCTAGAGAAAAATTCCCTCTTACTGGAACATCGTACAAAAATTAGCAAGGAACAAATTCATGAAATTGTCAACTCACTTATCGTGACTCTTCGACAAAAGGAACAGGAATCAATTGCAGAAGTGGAAAAACAGTATCTGACGGCCCAAGAACGGATAAGGACAAGCAAAGATGAATTACAGGATCAGTTAGATAAAAGGAACAATTCCATTTCACAGATTGAGGCTCTTGTCCAACGAAGCCCGGCAGCAGAACTTGTGAGAGCCAAAACCATCATAAATGAGATGTCTCAAGGACTGTTAGAGCCACAAGATATGCAGCCAACTGCTGACAGAAATGTCACTTTTTCCCAGTATTTTTCAAGAATGAAGAATTCCCTAAAATCATCCAACAGTCAAGAATTGGGAACCTTGATGAAGTGCCGGAAACTGAAACAGAACTGCGAAAGTGCACAATAGAAGGATTAAAGGAGGGTACGGAGGGTTTGGAGTCACAGTTTGACCTAATTACTCGAAATTCCAAAGGAGAACAGCACTACCGTCCTGCGGACGTGATCAGTGTTGACATTGTTTCAAACCAAAATGAACACGTTGCCGAGGAGATTATCATTACTGATGAGAAAAATGGCAGGTACAAAATTTTCTACATTCCCAGAAAGGCTGGAGAGCATTTAATGAGGGTTAGAATAAACGAAGAGGAGATGAAAGAATTACCACTAGCCTTAAGAATCACGGAACGATATTTCACGCCCCTGAGATGTATTAGAGTAGGAACCACAGAGGCAATTAAACTGAAATTTCCATGGGGAGTTGCTGTGAGTGACTCCAATACAATCTTTGTGAGTGATATGAAGAACAATCGTATTGTTGTTTTCGCTGAAAATGGTGAGTTCATCAGATCCTTTGGAGAAAATGTTCTTCGCCGCCCAACAGGTTTGGTTGTTGATAACACGGGTGGATTAATTGTAGTAAATAGACTTGATGGCAAAATATTGTCATTTACATCAACCGGCGAATACATTGGGCCTTTTTACAATGGTGATGAACTGAAAGAACCCCGAGGAATAGCGCTGGATTCAAAAGGAAATTATATTGTCTGTGACGTGGGAAATGGATGTGTCCGGTTTATTTCTCCCCAAGGAAACATTTTCAAGACTATTGGGAACGTGTTTTTGAAACTACCTGTTGACTGTGTTTGCTATGAAAATAAAATCTTTGTTTCTGATGGAGGAGCCCATCTTGTTAAGGTTTACAATAGCAATGGAAAACATTTGTATCAGTTTAGAAGACAAGGAAGTGGGGATGGAGAGTTTGAAAGGCCATCTGGACTAGCAATAGACAAAACAGGCCACCTTCTTGTTTGCGATTTCAATAGCAATAGAATACAGGTCCTTACTTTGGAGGGAGATTTTGTCACAAAATTTGGGAACTATGGGAAAAAAACGGGGGAAATGAAGGGCCCTAATTACATTTCTGTACTAAAAAGCGGACACTTTGTTGTTTGTGAATATAAAAATAATCGTTTACAAATTTTTGAATAGCTCAGGAAAGGCCTTCACTGAACTAGCAAAACAAAAAAGTAAGTCTAATCAGAGTACTAAATGTTTACAGTAGGAACAGTGCAGTGGGGTGGATATGGGGAGCGGCTCCACACACCAACCTTTACTTTCTGTTGCCGAGCCTAATGCATCTTGATTATAGATCAAGTACTACAGACTGTATTACATTGGCAATTTTAAAATTGTTTTGGCCAAAGCTGCATCTTCAGCCTCCCTTTTTTGTTAATTTGGATCGGCCTCAGGCTTTTCCGAATTCAATTTACGTGGTTTCGTGAAATATGGACTCAAACGGGAGTTTCCTTAAGTTTGCAGATTGAACAACATTAGTAACTAAAACGCCGTGTGTAGTACTCTCAGCGGCGTCCTGAAACAAAAAACTAGGCTTAATATGATTTGCCGGTTGTAACCGCATCAGGAAAGCTTTCTTTACTAACATTAATTAGCAGGTAAAATATGAGTTTCCGTTCTTTAAACAAGCCATAACAGACATTTACAAGTCCAGGTGAAATATTTTAAAGAAGCGCAAGGACCAAGCCGCCAATGAAAGTAGATTAGAAATAGATTTTTTAAAATAGGTTTTGTTGATTTTTGGTGACGTTAAAGTTTACTAAATAAATTAAAGTTTATTAAGAACTTTAGGTATTTCAATAATCTTATTGAAGTATAAGAAGTACGTTTCTTGTCAATACTAAACTTTGCCCGAAATTGTCTGTGATGTGTTGATATTTAATAATGGATTGGACAGTATCAGTTTCTTGTATATATGCGTTATTGATCAAGCGTGAAGTGAGATGGATGGATATTGGCCAAAATGCAAGTTCTTTTTTGTGTTTTTATGGACCAAAACGAAGTCGAAGTGTATAAAAACCCAAAACCAGGCCAATACCTATCAATTTTGACTCAACTTTAGTCAAAATTGATAGATATCATGTATCGTAACTTTTTCTTTCGGGATTAACGCGGGAAATGAGACTGAGAAATTCTCTTAGACTAATGTTCAGAACAAGAAACAGTCTGGGAAATGGGTTTGGGTACCTGATATGATACGGATATGAGCTTATAGAACCTTCGGGCCTGAGGACATTAGCATCTCCGAGCGATCAAAATACACTGGAAAGACATGTGCCATTAGGCAGGCAATTCGACCCTACTTCAGCAAAGATTCCAATCCTTAGCCGGATTCCGGATTCTTAGAGCTGAATTCCGGATTCCGAAGCCCAGGATTTCCTATTCCACAAGCAAAAATTTCCGCGGAGTTTTTTTTACACGAGGCGAGTTACACGAATTTTGAATAAGGCTCGTCATTCAAATCCATACATAACCAAAATAAATGCACAATGTTAACAAGAAAAGCAATTACACTAAAAAGAATCGTTCTTGGTAAACCTGAATGGCAGGAGTCGATTACCGGCTCCTGTGAATGGTCATTATTGCATGGTTTCTGCATTAGGTCTGATGCGCGTCCACGTAATGCCTGTAAAATATCGTGACTATTCCCAGTTCGCGTGACAAAGATGATGAAATGACAAAAAATTATTTCAAATTACCATGACCTGCAGACCCGGGAATTATATAAGTATCTTTATAAATTCTAAGAAATCACGAGGCGCTACGCAACAATAATCCAGGTGTCACTTTATTTTAATAACTTAACTCCAAGTTAATATCAAAATACCGAATAATTCAGATCGTCTTTGGAACAGTTTCGATACCTCCCATTCAAACAAGATGGATGTCTCAACTCTGATGTACTTTAGAATTTCGTCATAGTTATGATTATAAAAATAATAGCATTTTTTATTGCAGTAGTTTCCACCTAAGACTATAAATATCGGTATTTTGAACGACTGAAGCCTACAATAAGGGGTTAAACGAATTCTGCATAAAGTAAATCATTTTAATTCATGAATACACTAGTTTCCCGTAGCCTTGCACGCAGCTCATTTAAGCCCCCTGCAAACGGACGCAACATTGTTGCCCAACAACTGGCAACATTGTTGAATGTTACATGTTGCGTCCGTTTGCACACCCTGTTGCATGTTGTTGAGAGTTGTTGGGAAAAGTTTGAAACCGGTCAAACTTTTAGCCCCGAGCAAACGAACGCAACGTTGCTGGCCAACAACTCCCAACATAGTTCCTTTGTAAATTAGGACTGATTCGCCTCCTTTATGTTCGCTTGTTCATTAATAAAAAGAAAAAGAAAAAAAAGAAAACAATTGCATGATATCGTGACTGTTTCAGTTCGCGTGACAAAAATGAGAAACGTTGCGAATGATATATACTCAAAAAACTATGACCTTAGACCCGGAAATCATAAAACATCTTCCTCTAATTCTAAGAAATAAAGACACACTGCGCGCGCAACATTGTTTTCAGAGTCGTATACTTGGATGGGTTGTCCACGAATATTTTAAAAAAGCTGAGGTCGACTTTTGAACAGTTTTGATATTTTTATTCAAACAAGATGGATGTCCCAACTCTGATGTACAATGTAAGGGAGGAAGTAACTTGCTCGGTGTGCATGCAACTGTACACAAATCCTAAGCAACTGCCTTGCTTACACGTTTTTTGCCTTCAATGTCTTAACAACTTAGCTCGAACCAGCGCCCGTTATGGCAAGATTAAATGTCCACTCTGCCAGAGAGAAGTCGCAGTTCCCGGGAGTGGTACTTTGGAAACTCTACCTAACTGTTTTCACATGAAGAATCTGCTCGATATTCTAGCCATCAAAGAATGCAACACTGCAAAGGTTACTTGTGAAAACTGTGAAAGGAAAAGCGAAGAAGCAGCCTATTGTTTTCACTGCGGCAAGTTCTGGTGCAATGAATTTATGAACGCGCACAACATCTTTCGAGAAAACAGAGATCACCGCGTCCTTGCTCTTAAAGACTTTGAAGACAAGGATTTTGAGGATGTTCTTAAGAGGCCAGTGTTCTGCCAGAAGGAGCTTCATGATAGAGAAGTACTCAAGTTTTATTGTAAAGAATGTGATATTCCAGTGTGTCAAACTTGTGTCATTGTCGATCACAATAAACACGATGTGGAGCATTTGGAACTAACCGCTAGAGAGGTGAGGAAGAACATCATATCTAAGCTGGCTGCTGCAATGGAGACATCGGAGGAAATATGCTACAACTACAACACCGGAGAGGAGAAAAAGTCCCGCCAAATTGACGATTGTACTGACAACAACAAGAAGCGTATACGACAAACAGTTAAAACCCTGGTCTCGATTCTTCATCAAAAAGGGGAAGAATTGATAGCCGAAGTAGAAAACGAGAGAAAAATAGCGCAAGAGGAACTTAGGAAAAGCGCAGATGCCTTTCAGGATTTTTTTAGAAAGAGGGAGGAATGCATCTCAAATATTGGGGCTCTTGTCGAACGCAGCACGAGTGCAGATTTGGTCAGGACGTCGACCAAGAAAACCATAGATGAGCTCTTCCAAGGACTTCAAGAGCAACAAGATATGCCATCTACGACCGAGAGAATAGTATATTCCAAAGTGTTCGTTAAGAACCAAGCAGTCTCTACAGTCCTTGAAGAATCAGTCATTGGGCGCCTTGAGCAATCTCTAACGGAAGCAAAGCAGTGTTTCGTTGATGACTTTATATCAGTTACTGCCGGGCTTGCGAAGGAAATTGAAGTGATCACGAGGAATTCTGAGGGAGAACAGTACTATTGTGCAGGAGATTATATTACTGTGCAGCTTATCTCGGTGAATGAAGACCTTAACATCAATTGCATTGCTGAAGAAGCAAAAATCGTTGATTGGCAAAATGGCAGGTACACGGTTTCTTTCATCCCAAGTGAAAGTGGACAACATTTGTTAACTTTTCAAGTAAATGGGGAATACATTGCAAAATTCCCACCTGTTGAAATAAATGAACGATGCTTCAAGTCGTTAAGATTCTTTGGAGAAGGAGCTATCGACGGTCGAAAATTGCGCAAGCCCTGGGGAATAACTGCCAATGACTCGAATGAAATCTTCGTAAGCGACATGAACAACAATCGTATTGTGGTTTTCAACGAAAATGGGGAATTTATCAGATGTTTTGGACAAAATACCCTTAAGTGCCCAAATGGGGTGGTTTTTGACAATACAGGGAGAATTTTTGTGGGAAATCGACGTGACAACAAAATATTAGTGTTTGGGCAAAACGGAGAATACATTTCAACATTTCACAATGCCAGTTCACTAAGCGAACCTCGGGGAATATCATTTGATGCTGATGGAAATCTTATAGTTTGTGATGCGGGAAATAAATGTGTTAGGTTTTTTTCTCCTGATGGGAGCATTGTTAAGACGATAGGTTCTGGTAGATTACGTATGCCAATTGACTGTGTATGCCATAATAGCAAAGTGTTTGTTTCTGATCGTGATGCCCATTTGATAAAGGTCTACAATAGTAATGGTAGATTTTTGTATGAGTTTGGAACCCATGGAACTGGGGATGGAGAGTTAAATCATCCAACAGGTCTAGCAGTGGACAAAATGGGACATCTTCTCGTTTGCTCCTTAGATAATCATCGAGTGCAGATTTTTACTTTAGATGGGAAGTTTGGGGAATATGGACAAGAGTTGGGACAAATGTTCAGTCCTTCCTCCGTTTCTGTGCTTAAAAGTGGTCGCATTGTTGTGTGCGAGTTTCAAAACAACCGCTTACAATTATTTGAATAGCGGATGTTATTATTGTCCTTTTAAAGCATAGAGATTTCTAAATAAACAGGGTTTTTATCTTATTAGTGAAAGTAGACAAGTATAAAGGATACAAAGCATAAGTACTAATCTACGGTGGCACACATATTATGCAATACTGTCTTTTGCTTAAGGTTTGGTTTAATGTTATAGTCTTACACGGTTTTGTATTATGTTGGCACTGTTGAGAGTTGATGAGGGGGTCGCTTGTCTTATACTTTGCGAAGTTTTACAAAAACCTGTGAGAGGAATTTCAAGAATATGCAGTTTTCCATTTTGTGATGTTTTTAGGTTCTATAAATGATCAAGTTAAGCAACAAAACTAGGGTTTCGTTCTTTTTTGCCCTGTGTTGGACAGGGCAATGGTTCTCGGATAGAAAATGTACACTATGTTGCACCCTGATACTTTCTTTATAATAATTTTTAAAAATATAGGCTGTTTATATGTTATAATTTTCATTTGCGAAAAACTTAAACAGTGTACTACTCAGTAACTTTTATCTGATTGGTTAAAGTAAGTGGAGCATGATGATAGTGAACAGTACTGTGTACAACAGAAACATTCTTGGATTAAATTCATTTGGGGTAAAAGTAAGAACCATAGTGACTGAATCAGTGGACTGATGATCCTCTAAGGGGAAGTTTTTTTACTACATCATAATTGAAAAGTAGGTACATGTAAGAGACAAATACAATGTTTCGTTTAACTTTATTTACTACATATCATGCCCAATTTAGAACCCTTTTCCTGTTTTATTTAAAGAAATAAAGAACTAAAAAAGTACTCTATAGAACACATGAAAATATATTATTTTGAACTTTAAGGTTTCAAACTGTTTGACCAGTTTACTAGCCTGCGTGCAGACGTTTCACATCTCCTTAGTTGCATACGCATGCAACAAAGGCAATAAGAGACCTTTTCCACGTGCGACGAGGGGAATTAGAGACGTCTATACGTAGGCAGATTATGATATTCCCTACCTGTCTAGCAAAGTCATTTTCCCCACACTGTTGAATCTGAATACTGCTACAGTGGGATCTCCATAAAAATGAAGGGCCAAAGGAATGGCAAAATATGTTCGCCATAACAAGGTTATTTTTCATGTATTTTACTATTGCTGGGGTAAAGAAAATCATTCGTTATATAGAGGTTCCCACTGTATCAGACAAAATATAAATTTGCTTGAATAGTTTCCACCTACATTTGTTTGCTGAAATTCTTTCAGACATTATCAAAGACATAAGGACCCCCATTTTCTTTAATGCAGTTTCCTACAAAAGGTTGTGTGATGAAACAACAAAAAGCAGTTATGAGGAAAAACCCGAGACATGAATTTCAATGAGCAAATCATTGCTCAGTTAGAGTTAATACATACATGTACATACAGAGCTGGTGGAAATAAAATTGTTCGGTGAAAAGAAACTCACCTGCTGAATGGCTGACCTTTTTACAAGAAAATAATGGTTTTCTTGCCATTGGTGTTTATGAGAGAAGTAGGAGTTAAAGTTCTCACAAAAGAGAAGAAAAAGAGTTAAAAGAGTTCAACTTATACATGTTGATAAAAAGTTGCATCAGCAGACTGCCAGAAGCCCAGGGGGTGGGGAGGGGGAACTCTCTTAAAAAAGTGACAGGGATATTCTTCGTCTCACTTAGAGGTGCAAACTGCAGATTTTGGTGTCACTTAGGATGCTTGGCAGAGAAAGTTACTATACTTGCCCATTCAGTATGGTCTCCTTTAGGGTCAGTTTAAGCCTCAGCCCCACCCACATTGGTCTCCCTTAAGGGTTCACTTTTAATTTTCCCTCAAGCCTCCTGTCACTTTTATATGGGGGCTCCCACCCCCCCCCCCCCCCCCTCAAACAGAGCCAGTAGTCCCTTAAGATTGTCAAGGGAGTGAACATGTTAAGTGCAAATAATGGAGGCAACCATGTGATTCTCATTTTCACTAGTTTGCTATCTCAATTCATGCCAAGCCTCTATTCAACAGACTGAGAAGAGATTGCTTGCAGCCTTCTGCACCAACTAATAACATACATGTAAGAGCTTCTAGGAAAATAATGTAAATACAAGTACTATATATATTAACCATTTTATGTACTCTTTTAGACTCACTTTAAGGTCTCGAGTGGTTCTACATGCCATAGCCTCCCATGCAGATGTTCTTGGGCTTTGTCTGGTGAAGGAACATGTGCCAAGCCCTAAGAATGTCTGCGTGAAAGACTACCCATGCCACAGAATAATATCATAATAATACAGACATTATTTTGCCTGGCTACCCCTATATAAAACACTAACTTGGGCATAAATTCTCCAGATACTGTTTCTTCTTGCTATCTAAATGGGCAAGAAATTTGTCTATTCTGGAATTCTTTGATTCTCTATAAGCATCAAGTCTCTGCTGTATGCAAGGCTTTGTTAACAGTTCTGTTATGTTGCAAATGTGCCCTGGTGAGGCATGATATCCATTTGCATGGGAGATCTCATTGGTTGCCGCACCATTCTGCTCACATGTTTGTCTTGCACTTGATATATGGCCATTACCATTGGTGATTGAAGAAGATTCTTCTCCCATTTGATCTAAGACACACCTCAGATCCCATTCTAGCTCAGCTTCTAACTGTTTACTTCTGTTGTTCTCTGTAGAATCCTAAAAGAATGATCAACCATAGAACAATTATATTGATGATCACTATTTTGCATCCATTCCTTTCCAGGAAAGCTTATAGTACTATGTTTACTCATCTTGAGTCTCCAGTCCTTATAAATGAGTCTGAGACAGCAAAATTTACACTTAAGCCTTCAGCTTCTATTCACTATCCACTGCTGAATGGTTAGTTTCCATAATAATTATTATTATTGATCATCAAGAAGCAAATATTTCTCATGTGGAAGTAAAAACACTGAATGTGCAGTATACATGTAAATACTGGTATAGCACAAATTCATAGAACATATTATGCATAAGTATTAGTATTAGTTTACAACTGCTCTTACACTTCATGAAAGTACAAATTCAGGAGGATAGATCATTCTTTAAATTTAAATTTTGATGACATCATTGATTATAATGTGAAAACCAGCAATTGTTTTTTCTTGTACATGTATTTATAGAACAGCTATACATATGTTATTTTTTTACTTGGCAATGCAGTGTTCTCCCTAAATTTTAGTTCAGCAGGTAAGGGACCATTCACGGCCGGTAAGGCAAAAAAAATGTGTGCCAGAAGCGCACTTTCCCGGGGGAGGGGGGTAGTGGAGTAAGGGACGTGGCTTTGACCTTGCTGTGAAATTTAGGAGCTAAGTTCTCTGAAATGTCATTCCCTCACTTTAAGACCTATTTTACGCAAATCTGCCGTTGTTATTTTTAGACAACACTAAAAAAGTTTGATTCCAATAATATTACACTGTCTTCAATGCTCTAGAAAAGCTGTGTATACTTTAGTACACTTGCATATATTCATACCTTGATCGGATCAGATCACAACTTGCGTATTTTTTAAAACAACTTATTTAATTTTAGCAAACCTTCAAGCGGTTGCAGCCTGTAAGAAGTGTTGCTTCAGACGGTAAATTTTACCGGTTACCGCCTGATAAGGAGAACACTGCAATGAGAATCCAAGAAGGTCGAAATGTCATAATGTTTTAACATTACAAAATATAAACGATTTTGAGTAACATCTCATTGCAGTTTTTCAAAGTCAAATACTTAGGTCAATATAATAACAATAATCAAATTATAAACAATTAAGAAATTCCAAGTTTCAAGAAGGAAACAAAGAAGTGTTTGCAACCTAAAAACATATAACCATTTACATGTATTTTATCATACCCACCATAAAAGTTTGATAATTCCACTGAAAGGAAATAATTGCACCATAGAAATCCCAGACAGAGAATTCAGGCCATAGAACTTTAAGAAATGAGAGAGATGAATAGGAACACTGCAATAAAGAGGAAAGAGATTATGGTGTTACCGGAGGTGATGACGGCAAGCTCTATAACATACTCTTATCATCTCAAGATCCCAATCACTGAAAGGGTGGCAAATGGTGACTAGACCATTAAGGGTCTCCCGAACTTTTGATCCAATCTTGAAATCTTTGAAGCATTTGAAGCAGTGTGTGAAAAAAACCCACGAAAATAACTTCCAATAACCTTTTGATTCTCCTTTCAAATTTCTTGCATTTCCTTGCAAAATGAAAGGAAAATTTGACATTATATCAATAGCTGTTGTACATGTACTTTCGGTACACAATACTATTATTCTGTTAATACATTACACCAGAATTTCCCTTATTGTCTCCCAAATAGTTAGAAATGTGAAACACAGTCAATTCTGAATAAAACTATACTGAAAACTTCATTGGATAATAGCTCATAATAACCTAAGAATGGATTTTATTCACAACATAATCCCTAGTGGAGGCAGTACGTGTGTGGCCAAGTGGTTAGTGCCTGGAATACATGTAATTATTGTAATCTCAATCCCTGCCCTAACAGCTTGCCGAATTTGTTTTCAGTAGTAAAATCCAACTAGCTGGTCAAAAATATCGAGAATAAAAATTTTTTAGCTAGTTAAAGCTAGACTTTAATCCCTTTTAGCCGCCAAAAAGCCCGCGCTTTTCGCTACTAGTGGGCTATAACATATAGCCTAGTAGTAGCTCAACCAATTGGAACACAGCATTGATAATAGACCACTAGTTGGATTTTACTAAATGTAAATAGCCTTGGAACTATTTTTATCATAATAATTAGGAGTGTACAGTGTGACTTACCTGCCACAACAGGAAATCACTAAAACGCACCTCTCCCGAGGTTCTTATTAATATATCAGGGTGGGGGGATGGTGAAGTGTAAAGACATCTCTCTAATAATGACTCACTAACATCACTGCAGATTGAATAAGAAAGTTATACAGGTAATTACTTTGTCTTGTATACTTATTTTATACAATTATGTACATGAAGTAAATGGCCTATCGTTACCACAATAGTTCACCATGAGTTCGTCTACACAGTACATAAATATGACTGTACAATCAGTACTCTGGAAGGCGATGGGCTCTAATCTTACCAGGAAGCCAGTAGTGGTGCACGGATCTAGATTACACTAGATGGTAAATCATAGATCCCCCAAAGCAATAAGTTATTTGAAAATAAATTCTTGTCTCAAAAGGTCTCTGATTTTTAGTATTGTAGCTTAAATGTCACCAAATTATAACAGTAACGTTCAACCCCAAAAAAGATGCAGCTTGAAGTATCTTTGCTTGAAGTGAATCTCAACTTTCCTAAGGTCCCTTCTTAGCATTATTTTGACTTTCATAAATGTAGTTCTTGTTAAGAGATTTTCCCAATTTTGATTAATGATCACACAATAAATTATTGGTTGGGTCAATCGGAATATTTCTGATGATCGATGATGAAAATTAATCTCAGTCAACTCCCAACACTGGAAGCACTTGCATGTAACATGTCTGGCTGAGTAAAGATACAGCTGTAACATTGAAGTTATACCTCTAAAACTTACATACCAATAAAGGCAATGATTTTTAAACATGTAGAAATAAGTTTGCAAAGTACTAGATCACCTAGGTTTTAATAAACCAAGCTCCACCCCTTCAGCCACAGATTTAACAGCGTTAGAGATTTCATGTCTTGATGTATATGCCAGACATACATTCAGGATTGCTCTGAGGGAAATAACAAGAAAATTTTCAATTTGAGCGGCAGCAAACCCCAGAGGACAAAATAAATACAAAAAGGCTAATGCCAACTTACATGTATAAATAAACAAATAAATAGGAATATTATTCATGATCATGATTACTCTGCAGTCCAAAAGATAGTTATAAATTCTGGTTTGCTTGTTTGTGGAATTGTTTACACTTGTTTGGTTGTTCAACATTGCTATGTAAAATAATTATTGTTCATTGTCTTGAGGTAATGTCTGACCAACGATTTTTTCTGACCAATCAGAAGCCTGCATTTGCAAAGGTGTTTAAGAAATGTCTTATGGGACCCAGTAACCCGGAATAAAAAATTTCATTGTCTGGATTTTCCTTTTTCAAAATTAACGTTTCCTGACTGGCTACATACCTCTGAGTTACTGAGGATATTACATGTTAAGTTCCTAAATTATTAATACATATACACTGGGCTATTTCTATCACTAAGCAAAAATGCTCAATTTATTTTTGCTTACTTTCTGTTATTTTGTGAAAACTTAACCACTCTAGCCACTGATCTTTGTAGATCTTCGGGTAACATTGTTAGATCACCAAGAGCTCTCACACATACTCCATGTTTTTGAATCATTTCCCTACAAGGAAACAACAAAAAAACCTCAGTAATGGTTTCCATTGTGCTCTCCTTCTACGTTTACATTGGATAAAAAATAAAACATATAAAGCAATGGTCTGAATTTGGTACATACATGTACATCTAGCCAAGCAAACTCCCTCCTAGGGTCCTCTCCTACAGTACTTGCTCCTGGAGCAAGAGAGTAAGAGAACTTGGCCCCGGTTATCCAACGGATAAGTACTGTATTAGAAAAACCAACTGCATTATCCAGTGGATAGAGATTTATCTGGTGGAAAGTGTTATCCACCTATTGAACAAAGCCTGGTCTGGTCTGTCTGGTCACATGTCTTCCAGATTTTAGCAAATGACAAACTAATAAGGGGGGGGGGAGGGGTGGAGAGGGTCAAGAGGTTTATCAACATTTCACCATCTGTGTTTCGCAATTCGTCCAAGAGGGCAAATGTGAAGAACCATCATGTAACTCAGTGTAGCTGCTGTCCCCAAACATTGTTTTGAAATGAGGACACAGAATCAACAGGCCACATACAAAATTGATAAATTTCTTTCAGGTTTTAAATGTATCCCTTAATTTTGACATAAGATAGATCATGTGACCCTCAGCTGCAAAGGGCCTACAGGTGTACTGCAGCTTGTTGAATAAGCAGAAAACAAATTAAAACATTTTTAAATTATTCACCATTGATGCTCAACAAGTTACAACTTGTTGAAAAGCATAGAACATATTATACAGCAGTAGAGATACATGTACATTTTTAAAGCTTGCTTCCTCTTACTTTTCTTCCATGAGTCTGTCAAATTTTTGCTTGGCAAGCTCCATGAGCCCATCAACTTCATCTTTTGATCGTTTGAAGTTTTCAATACTGAAGGCATAAACTGTTACCTCAGGAATACCAAGATCAAAACACCACTCTAGAACCTACATGTATGATAAAAAAAAATGATCTAAGCTATTGGAAAAAAGAAAGATACAGGCAAATTATACTGGCTATGTAGCATGGAATCTCAAGCAGCACATTGTTGAAAACACCTTACGTGAACAAATGACCCAAAAGAAAACCGATTTCACATTCTTCACAAGCGCCAACCAAGGTTTGTACAGTGTATGTATGGACTATTAACCCTTTAAGCCCCACAAGATTCACATACAAATTCTCCAGACTGATCTCCATACATTTCTTTAAGAATAGTTGAGAGAATTTGGTTTAAGATCAAAACGTTCACCCTTTAGTAATCAATTTAGTAATTCTCATAACCTTTACTCTTGATGATCTGCTGATGTTGTTAGGAGAAAATTGATGTTGGTCACTCTTGGGACCTACATGTAAAGGGTTAATGTTCTTCATAAAAGAACTGAGTCCACGCTTGAAGACCATTGCTGATTCTATTTGCACAAAGGTCTTTGAAACAACATTCTTTACACTTATATTGGCCCAGTTGAAACAAGCTTTGTTACATGTATATTTAGTATTTATATTTTTCCAAAAAACTCTACTTTTTCCTTGGTGATGACTGTGGTTTAATGTGAAAACCTTGTTGTTTTTTTTACTAATACAATTTCTTTAAAACTTATTCAGAACTTTGCAGTGAAATCATTCACCTGCAGCAAGTGGTTCCACTAGAGTTTTGAAAATTTTGATGTCATTTCTAAAGTCAATTAGAGTTTTTATCATAACTGAGTGATTTCTAGTATGGTGATTGGTTGAGAGCTATGTTCAGTAAGAGTACAGACAATGGAAATGACGTGATGGTGCTGCAATTTTTTTTCTCTTTCTCAGGACCAAGATTTTCTAAGAAATTTCAACGGAAACAGACATCAACACTGTCAATGTTTATGGTAAAAAAAACAACCCGACGACAATTTTCCATGGTCTGTACTCTTATCGGCCATAGAAAATCAAATGATGTCCAAATGTTCAAAACTTTGCAGTAAAACCATCACCTGCGACTCGTTGCTTTTGAACATTTTGACATCATTTCTATGGCTGTTAAGAGTACAGACCAAGGAAAATTGCTGTCGATTTGTAAAATAGAACATGGAAATTGTTGCAGTTTGTTACAGTGGGACCACTACATTATTTTTCTGTAATCTGATTGGTCAGATTACAGTAGCCGCACTGTAAGTACACCTCTTGCCCAAAAATTTCATTAAGTAGGTCAAAGTTCGCATTCTAAAATCAATGAAATGTACTCATTTTCATAAGGGTAGGGCTAGAATGAAATTAAGGGAAGGAGTAAAATATGATTTAAGCACATCAGTTTATATGTATTAAAAATTACAGGTTTGTTTATGGTATTATGGCTTAACGGTTACGTAGCACGATTTCATCATCCTTGGTGGGGCACTGACTAACTGAGTTGGGGGATGGCCTGTTCTTGTCCCAGGATAGCATGCAAAATGAATGAAAAACTCACCAATATATCCTAGAGTATCCTTTAGAGTAAGAAATTATTCAAAATATACCTCGTTTGTAAACCTTGCAGATAGATAGGTAGGACGAGAGCTTTCTTTGCAACCTACCTCGGTCAACTTTTCGAATCCCTTTTCGTGTCCTTTTGAACACTCACAGTTCACTTTCTTAGCGAATCTCCTATTTCCATCCATAATTATTGCGACGTGTTGAGGCATCGGACCGGCTTTTATAACATTATTACAAAAAGATCGAAGATATGAGATCTTCCGTTCTTCTTTAAACCACGACATGTTGGAAATGCCGCGTTTTTCGGGACGAAAAGAACAACAAAATACTGCTAGCACCGGCCAGCCGGTCACGAATTGAAGAGACTATTGACCATCTGAGCGTGCGCACTGCTTTCTTCATGATTATGCATGATGTCATGACAAAAAGAAAGTCGAACGCTGTTTGCCGCCATGTCACGCTTAACCGTTGTTGGTGAAAAGGAAAGAACATTTTCTCGAACTAAGAAAGCGGCATGACCGCTGTAGCATCAAGAATACCTTTTTCGTACATCAATTAACACAGAACGATGAACAACGTGGATGAGAATATTCAGCGAGGTAGGTTTTGATCGGTCGTGTTTCAACTCATATCCCCCTCACATTCTTATCCTCTTCTTCCGTCCGAAATCTTACAGAACTCTACTTGCTGATCGCCAAGTTCCTCTCGAAGGGTCCCTGTAGCCGTGCTACTGAGGTAAGTTGAAGTATTGTACGTTTATTCCGTTGAAATCATCTACTAACGAGTCGTGTTTCTCACACAGGCCTTGACCGAGGAACTCGTCGAACATAAGGTAAGCTCCCCATTTCTCTAAATCACATTGGACATAGGGGTAGTTACACCTTTAAAATAAATTTGAAGGTTTCCCTTTAACTATTTTTCTGTATTTGGGAATTGTAGTCCTCAGCGAGTTATCCAGACAATAGTGTTTGATTCATGCCATGTTGTTAAATGATCCTTTCTCACACTTTTCTTCACAGCTTCTACGACGCCGGACAGATTGGAGGGGCCAAGAACATGACCAAACCTACGAGGAAACGGTACTCTTTTGCCCCTATTTACAAATCTACTCTCAAGCGACTTTTTGAGCAAATTTCGGTGCCAACCACGGATCAAATTTTTTTTATATTTTTCATCGGAAAACGAAAAAATATTTTTCGCGCTTCGTCTAAGCGAAGCCCGAAAAAAAGGGTGAAATTTATTTTGCGATCATATTTTCGACGGGCTAGCAGATTGTGTTTTTTCGCTGCGTTCATTATGAAACTTGGGCAGCCTCTGACACCCAACAACTTATGCATACCAAGCCTTTGTCTATTCATATGGTAATCGGATATTTATGGTGTTTATCGAAAGCGAGCCAATCAGAGGTGAAAGCGGAACGTGTTGGGTCAGATTTCCATTGTTTTACAATGACCGGATTAAAATTCCAGCTGTCAAATATACGTCAGAATAATGAAAACACAATTTTCATTTCCGCTCCTTCGGTTGGCGCGTGATCGATCTCACAGGAACAGATGCTTCGCGAAAGAACTAGGCTGTGAAATCTTGATATTGCTGTATTTTGGCTGCCTTAAATCGCCGCATTTTAGCTGGTTAATTGTGCTAGAGAATAATTGCTCGTTTAACCACAATCGTTTTTCTTTTGTCCTGTTTTCTCAAGTATTATAAAGCGAAAAATAAAAGTAGCATTATATGAAGAAGGCCTGGACACTATATTTTTATTACGCGCCATGTTGCGTTGCGGTAGATTGTGATATAGGTATTGCGGTCATTTTTTGTTGAAAATTGCCTTTCGTTTCAAACAGGCACCAAATGCAAGGACTTCAGTAACGGGCAAAGTTTTGTAAAGCATTTTTCCATTCAACAGATCGCTGAAAATCGCCATATTCCTGATGATTTCTTGCTACGTGTAGCCGAGCGACTTGTTCCTTTGGTGGAGCAATGTGTGCCTGGCAGCGCACCCGGCTTTCGGTCCTTGCTCGGGGCTGGAAGACAGAGCATGCTACGAACATCCTCAGGTAATTAGAATACGTCATGGGGGTTATCAAACAGAATGCTAGAAATGACTGAAGAGTCTGAGTTCTAAACTATCTTTTTTCTGCAGAACACATGAGCTCATTGGTGTCTGAAATCTTTTTTTCATAGAAAATTTATCCCCAAGCAGTCCACCCCATGCACTTGTTTTTGTAAGATCCTATTGATAAATAGCCGTAAAAGAAGGGTTCTCCCCTATCTTAATAATAAGAAGCAGGGGGAAGCTTGAAGCCTGGTTTTCATATCTCTGGAAAATCCCAGACAGTTGGGGAATTTATTGTTTCCCGACTGTCCCAGATTTTGGCGACTAATGAAAACTCGAACTCGTAGATATCCCCGATCGTCTGGGATGGACGGGGACAAATCTGGAGAATCAGGAGTGTTTCTATTTTCCCGACGCGTCCCAGATCACGCATTTGTGCACAAATTTGGCACACTTGCCATTTCCCGCCAAACTCAATATCAGGAGAATCGAGGACAGACTTCTGGTGATTATCCGATACATCCGTAAACTCTGGGACGGTCGGCAAAAAGTAAAATCCCTGATCATCTGGGATTTTCCCGACATATGAAAACCAGGCTTGAGCAACGACAATGGTGATGGCGACGAGAACATCAAAAAAGCAATAGGTTTATTAAGTAAGACAACAACTTTGCACGTGAAAACACCTTTTTGGAAAATGTCCAATTTCACATTTTATGGAGGACGTAAACAAATGAGTTTTTCTTTCTCTTTCTTAACTTGAGTGCGGTCCCCAAAGAAATCAATGCCAGGGAAATTCACCTACATTTGGCATTTTCAGCAAAGTATAATTAATGTGAAGAAGTTTGACAAAAAAACAAATCAATTGCGGCTGAATCCTGGGCTCAAAGTTAGCGACTAACTGGTCGCATATGCGACTGGATTTTTGGTTGTGTGCCGAAAAATTCATGTGTAATCGCACCTGTGTGCCGTAAAACCCAAAGCACAGTGTGACTGACTGACTTCCGACTATACTTACAAACTCGAACTAGAAAGACGGTGTATGTTTAATTGGTCTTTTCTCCCAATGGATTCTACGAACTCGAATGTTCTTTTTCGTTTCGATGTTTTACTCCATCCCAAACTCTTCTGTTTTGTAATAAACACCGCTGACACATTCAGATATATGCTACGAATGAAACATGTACTTTTTGCGGAATGGATGATCATGTCGATTGTTCAGTTTTAACGTCAATCAAAACAAAAACAGTGCGGATTAAGAGCCTTTTTTTCCAGGTAAGAAAGTTTTTTAAGTTGTATTCCAGTTACATGTAAGTCATGGTGCATTTAACAAATTCATGGGATGGGGCAGTGGCAAGCACCTCCCACCAATGTGATTTGCATTAAAATCCTGGCATCGACGCCATATACATGGGATGAGTTTGTTGTTGGTTCTCTCCCTTGCTCAGGGAGTTTTTTCTCTGGACACTCTGGTTTTCCCCTCTCCCTTAAAACTGCATACATTTCCAAATTTTCAATTTGACCAGGATAGATGTAGAACAACTGTATACTGTGCTACCTCAAAATCTTTATATTTTATTTATTTCATCTGTCTGATTCCACTTTTTCAAGGCCGTAATTATGTATTTTATGCTGCTTTTCAGAATTTAACCCTAAGGGTGGATTTCCCATAATGGGTAATTTTTATGGTGTACATGCTTAAAATTTATATTGCGTACAATAAAATGGAGGTGATGTATGGAAGGCTGCACATAAATGTAGAAGTTGAGTGAGGTTCACCTTTTATGTTTATGCGTGGCTTTTCATACATATTGCCTCTGTTGTTTTTACACACATGAAATTTATGTGTGTACTCATGTAACAGAAACACAACATTGGAAATCCATCCTAAAAGGGTTCCTATTGATGTTGTCCGTTTTATGTTTGTAGAAACAAATACACCAAGCGTGAGTTCATTAGCAGTATGCTATCATGGAGCCCCTTTGCTACCACCAGTGAAAAGAAGGATTCCAGGAAATATTGGTAATAGTTTTGTATCATTTTATTTTGTAATTGTTGGATTTTGACCAGCCTGCAAATACAGCTGCTTCTCATTGCTCCAAACCATACTGTGTTTTTTTTGTGAGAGAGACGTTTGCCTTTGGCTTCACAGATTCCATTCTGATGATTGATTTTGCTTAATTACATGTAACTCAGTAGTGGTTCTTTTCATGTTTACCATGCCTTATCTGACTTTTCTCTAAGAAACACTAAAGGGGGCCCATTGCTCTGAAACTGTGAAATCCAGAGTGCCCAGCATGGCAGATGATTTGTATGAAAAAACTAAGATTTTCTAGTTGCCCAGGTACAAAAGTTAGGTGCCGAGGCCACTGGGCTCTGCTAGGCACATCCTTCCCCTTGTCGATTATCATAAATTTGGGAACTGTTCTGTGGGAATTTGGCACGGTCTAGCCAAATTAAAGGTGAATAATAACATGCATATTCCTTGTAAAAAGTGTAGTTTCGTGGTAGAATTAGCCTACTTTAAGTAAATTATTTTTATGTTTAGACCTTCTGCCTTACATGTATCTCAGGCACTTGTAAACAATAGCTAAAAGGACCATTTTTAATTAATATCTCTTTGACCAATCAGAGCTCCAGACCAGATTCTGAACAGATTAACACTATCAGTACAGGATTTTCAGGGGCAAAATGCACACAACTCAAAGATTCTCTCTCTTGAAATCTTGTTCCAGTGATAATTAAGATGCGGCAGTATTTGTAGGTTAAGCTTTCACAAACTTAGTCCCTCTTGAAATGTCTGTTTTTTCTTAGGTCAAGTGCTTTGCAGCAGAGAGATAAGTGGAACATCCAGCATCAGAAATGTTGCTCAGCCAAATCTTTACACAAAATTGTCCATGGTATTTTAACATATCTTTATCTATTATCTTCACCTTGATTCTTGAAACATCTATCTCATTACTTCACTACTACTGAAAGATGCCCGTTGAAATTTTTTTGGAGGTTTTTTTTTCCTGGGAAAATGCTCCACTTATCCTTCCCTGAACCCAACCTTATAGAAATGCAACTTAAAACTAGCATGTTGGTTCAGTAAAAGGGTAGGTGGACAGGTTTGCAGTATACTTACAGGAATTACAGGTATGTTGGAGAGTTTCCAATTACCTTTACATGTTCATGTACATGTCTGATATTGCCATCTTTTAATCAAGAATCAGAGGAATCACCCAATAGAGAGTAGCCAGCCAAGAGCAGATTTGGGTGTTCTGGGTGTTGGCTATTTTTGACAACATCACAGGTGTAACCCTGTGGAAAGAACAAGTTTATTTATCTCGCACTGTTCTTTTTTCCTCAGCATCGAAGAATCCTGGGCCATTTGTCAGCTGTTTACTGTGTTCTGTTTGACAGAAGTGGAGAATGCATTATTACGGTGGGTAGTCGTTTTCTTTTTCTTGTTCTTTTAATTGTAACAAATTGATCGAAACAAAAATGCAAACAGATACAACAAAAACCAACAAAAGTCCTACTTCAGAGAAAGACTGTAACAGGAGTTGAAACTTTGAAATCATGCTGTTGAGACCCAATAAGATGCCTGAAGTCCATAATAGCACAAGTTCCATTTGTTTCTGGCAAACTTTTGTTAGTTTTGCAAGGGATTCAGTTTATATGGACAGGGTGTCCATAATAGTGGGTGTTGACTAGGCGAGAGTTGGTTGTATTGAGCGTAGAGAACCAAAGTCCTTTTTTCTCATACAATTTACCTTACAAAAGTGACCCCACCCTTTATTAGTTGAGATAATCATGTCCAAAAATGAAAATGAAAATTGTAGAATTTTCACTATTTTCGCCATTGCTTGCATTTCTGGATATAAGTGTATTATTTTGGACTTTCATCAACATCCTTTTTTTAAAGAAGGTAAGAACCAAATGAATATTCTCTGTAAAAGCAACTTATTGCATAACATCTACACATGTATGCTCTTCTGGACAAATCTAGGTTCTTATTAACATTGTTCTTTCAAAATGATTTGATGTTATTTTTTATAGGGAGCTGATGACAGCCTGGTGAAGATTTGGTCCAGTGAGGATGGGCGTCTTCTGGCAACTTTGCGAGGGCATCAGGCTGAGATTTCTGATATTGCAGTTAATTATGAAAACAATTTAATAGCTGCTGGAAGCTGTGACAAGGTGTGGAGTTAAATACAGCAGTTTTAGTTAAATTTTGTCAGAGTTGAAAGTGTATAAACTAGTGGTTGAATTCCATAATTTTTGGCCCAGTTTGGATCAGATTCCTACAGACAGAAAGATCAGCCCATTAAATTATTAATTGTGTTGTCTACATGTACATGTATATTACAGGTCAAAATTATACACCTAAGATTAAGATTTTTTAATCAACAGGTTGATTCTCAATTTTCTTTGTCTCCTAGCCCTAATTGATGTATAACATTATAGACTTATGTATAATAATGACGTTGGGCCATTATCATGCTGACAAATAAATTGAATCTTGTTAACTGGCTTAACAAGGCAGTTGTAGGCAGTTAGAAATCAAGCAAAAGCAATTATCCATGGATTTGTGACATCCCCGGCAGTACATGCAAATTTGAGTTTTCAAATTATTTAGGGAACAATAAATTGCTGACCATGGGAGAAACCTGGCATGGTTACATGTAGGAAACAGTACAAAATACCTGATCCCGCATATTGGCGACACATGGAAACCAGGCTTTAGTGGACAGTTTATGACCGTGTAATTTTTGAGTTCTCCTGTTATTGTTAGTAATGATTCATTTGCTTGTTGTCTTTAATTTTACAGGTGATTCGGGTGTGGTCTTTAAAATCCACCCAGCCTATAGCAGTGCTGCAGGGTCACACAGGCATGATAACGTCTCTCCAGGTACTAAATGTCAATGCTTTATAGCGATTTGAGTGTGACATTAAGTTATTATTTGTGTGAATAGTAATTTATTGACTGTCACATTGTTTGTTTGTTTTTGTCAACAGTTCTGTCCATCCCCATTAAATGAATCCAGGTAATGATTACAAGTATTAATTATATATTTTATTATTATTAATAATAAATTTATTATTTTTATTGCACAAATTACATGTGCATATGATCAAATGCTTATCATTATAAAAGCATATTTACTAACAAAAAACTATAAAAAGTTGAAACTGCATGATTTAAAATGTACAAACTATTTATTGAACCTAATAAAAAGCTTTTTTAAAAATGTCTTAAGCAATATTTCAAAAGTATTAAAATTTTCCTCGTTACAAATATTATGGACAATCTGTTCCACAATTTCGGTGCTGCAGCCAAGAAGGCACATTCACCAAGTCTTATATGAGTATCAACCCTTGGAGCTTGTAGGAGGAGTCCTTTGTTTAACCTCAAGTTGTACCCTCCACTTTCCTTGATATTAATAAGTTCACAAATGTAACTTGGAGCAAGCGCATATATTGCTTTAAATGTAATTATCATAATTGTGAATTTTATCCTAAATTTAACTGGAAGCCAGTGTAATGAATATAAAAGTGGAGTGATGTGTGAAAATCTACAGTAAAGGTATATTAAAAATCAATCTTGCTGCAGAGTTCTGAAGGCATTGAAGTTTTGTTGTATAAATATATGGACAGAAGACCATGACATAGAATACTGTTACAGTAATCAATACATCCTATTACCAATGTTTGTGTTGCTTTGGTACTTAATTATTTTCATATACGCCTGACATTTGTGAGATGGTAATATGCAGCTTTATTAGAACTTTAAAATACAGCCTATTAATAAATATATTTTTTTATTGCTTAGATGTTTGCGAAATTGTTTAATTTTCATTTAACACAACTTCATTTATATATTAGGCAAACCAGCCAACTTCCATTTATCTTGTGGTACATTGAGGGGCTCAAGCCACTCAGAAAACCTACACATGTCAGTTTATTAGAATATAATTGCAATGACTGCATGCTTTGTCCTTTCTTAGATATTTGGTCTCTACTGGTGGTGATGGAACAGTTTGTTTTTGGAAGTGGGATTTATCCACCCTTAAATTTGAGTAAGTACATGTACTTGTACATGTACATGTAAATACAGCATAATTTATTGGTGCTTAAGACAGCAAGTAAAATATTACATGTGAGTACCCAACAACTGAGTGTCTCTCTTAATGTAAAAAGTGAAATCAATGGTGGATTTCACCCTTTACCTTGGAAAATAGTTTTATTTCAGAATAACATAACTCTGATACTGTACAAGGTTTACATTTGGTTTTTTTTTTGTACTGAAAGAGTGTCAACATTTTTACTTCAGACCCAAGCCCATAAGGTTTATTGAGAAGTCACGTCCTGGTACCCAGATGGTGTGCTCATCTTTCAGTCCAGGTCAGAAAAAAATTCTGTAATAAGGCCGAGTACATGTATGCTAGCATTAGATTTCAGCTGGTGTATGTATTGAGTTTTTGTGCATTATAAAGGTAAATTGGTAACTATAAGGAGATTCAAAAGGTCAGACACATAACATGTACTTTGGCCTTGCTCTGAGAGGAAAAGTTTGATGCACTCAACTCACTCCTTCATTGATTCAGCGGTGCAGATTCTTCAGTGATATGAATTGAATTAAAATGCAGCTGTAAACTTGTTTAGAATAAAATATAATAATTAATTGGCTTGGCTTGATAATGTACATTGTACATGTGGTGCTGGTACAGTTTACCTGACAGTACATTTTATAATGGAATGTAAAATTAATTCTTGTGATTTACAGGAGGGAGTTTCTTAGTGTCAGGCAGCACTGATCATATTATCAGAATCTACCAGATGACCCCAGGACCCCCTGAAAGAATTGCTGAGTTAGATGTCCATAATGTAAGTAGACTTGTGTTGATGTATTTGCTCCCTCGGCATGTATAGTGTGTAGCTCCAAGTGATCTGTTCATAATAATGAACCTGTCCTCCGCTCGTAACAGTGCATAATGCTTTCTGGGTGCAGTGTATGAGCACCCCAGGCCTAAGAAAAGACAGCCATCTACCCTTAAGTGAGATGCTTCAGGCACTGTGCTAAAAGTGGTAGTATTTTGCTGTTGCGGACAGTTGCGGTCACCAAATGATGAAATGCAAAAGATTGAAAAGACAAGGAACAATACCCACACCAATAAAACAAAAGCAAGCAAATGATAGTTCTTAAAAAACCAAGAAACATCCTAAAAGGGAGACTTCCAGAGAGCATCAAGTTCATACACTGTACCTGCTGTGTACCTATTGTGTACATGTAGAATGCCTTGCAATTTGACAGGTTCACTGGTGTTGAGGTGAATGACATGCTGGAGGAAAATGGGATTCAAAATGGTCATAAATTAATGAGTTTTTATTTTTTCGTCAAAAGCATTTTTGAAAATCTACATTTAATGTTGTCAATATCTCTTAAACTATTGGAGACATTTTTAGTATTCCTTTTCCTCAAACAAGGCTGTGCTCAAGCAGAGTCTGGTGGTCCTGCTGGGCACTCTGGATTTTACGGGTTCAGAGCAATGGGCCACCTTCAATTTTCCTCAGTGCACAACCTTGTCAAATGAATTCCTTTGTGTTCAGATTGTGCTTCTTTCCTTGACTAAAAAAGCCATTTTTGTGACATCATCAATAATAATATTATTCTGATATCACAAACATGAAATTTGAGAACCTTTTAATTTACAGCCTGTAGATTACTTTTTTTTCACTATTTTGTCTTTTAGGATCATGTGGATAGTATCCAATTTAGCCACAAGGGAGACAGGTATAAATTTAGTTAATGAGTAGTACAAGGCTGTCCCCCAAGCTACTCTGAACTTGACTTCCAGGCTATATGTAACTTCCAGAGGAAAATAGACAAAAAAGACATCAACAATGCCTAAGTGTTGTTTGCACGGCAACTTGAAATCTTAGTGACAGTTGTGTAGTACACTGTGATCTATTACTATTTTGACATCAGTTTTCTTGGAAATTTGAGAGAAAGGGAGCATGAATACATTCATGTATTTATATGGACTTGCATATTATTGGTAGAAACTAATAATATACAAGTGTATTTGATTCTTACTGTTTTTTTTTTCATTTTATTTTATGGTTTATTAGGTTCCTCAGTGGTTCAAGAGATGGCACTGCAAGGATCTGGTATTTTCACAGATCTGCGTGGAAACATATTTTGGTTGATGTCAGCAAACGACTTCCTGGGTAAGGTCATGGTATTCAACAAAGTGAAGCATGTACAATCATTATCATATACTTGTTTGTTTGTGTTTCAATGCAGTACCTTTTCATTTACGTATATTTTATTCTGTGTACATATTGTAATAAACTGTAGTAGGTTTCGTTTGAAATGCAAATTAAAATTTTTCAGTGATAGCAAGGATTTTACTGTCACCTTATGTTTCATTTTTTGCCTGTATTTTCAACTCCTTGTTTCAGTTCGCCGTTAGTGGAGGAATCTGTTAGAGCTCTAAAACCAAGAGTGACCATGGTGAGATTTTTGCAAGTTTTTTGCAAATGACACTGGAATTTTTTCTTTGGTGATCACACTGAGGGTGACTTGGCAGTAAAGCATCAAGAGAATTATGCTGTGGTTAATTATATTGTTTTCTGATTAAGAAATAATGTTGTTGAGAATTAATTTTGACTATTTTAACTGTCCTGAAAGGTTGGTTGGGATCTTTGGGACCAGCATGTTATCACTGCTGTCAATGACAACACTTTGAAGGTTTGGGAAGCTGCTACTGGAAATCTTTCACTTGTACTTTCTGTAAGTTTTATTGTTGTTCACTTCTGTATTAGAAGCATAAAAAAAAGGAGAAAAAAGTTCAGTACTAGATTGTGGTGTCACGTGAGGATGTACATGTTTTAGTATTTTAAGGTGGCTGAACACAGTTATGGCAGTTTGTGAGTATAATGTCATTTGCCAAATCATGGCAAGAGAAAGGTTGCAGCTCACAAGCTGAAACTTGGCAGGTGAAAAATATACTGATGACAGATTTTGACTGACAGGTAAAATGTGACGTTTTTGAAGTTTCCATGCCAACATGAACGATTGAATGCAACCTTAAAATTTCACGTTTGCTCAGTTTACATAAAATTCGCTCATCAGATTTTCCTATAAACTTGCACACAGCTTACTATAATTAATCATTACCATCTGAAACTTATTTGACTGAATTTTAACAAACGGGTTTTTAGATATATCAATAATATGATTGTACTGTGATTATTAAATGTGTGACAAAATTCGTCTGTTGAACTTCCATTTTAAAGTTCTTATTATTGAAAGTATGATAAAAGTAAAAATTCTGCCAAATATCACAAAATTTTAATGAGCAGATTTTGAGAAATTGTCTTCTGTGCATGTGTACCATTCCTTTTTTTGCCACCATGTTTGTTTGTCTAATTTAAAACACGCGCCGTTGCGCGAGTTACCGCTGACCACCCGCAAAACTGTGTTCAGCCACCTTAAATGGGACTTAAAGGTGATGTACATTCCTTATCTCTCAGAGTGAAATCAATGGCTGTTGTAAAGTAGTTCTGTTTTTGGAATAAGAAAACAAACCTATTTTGACACCATTCAAATGAAAGTGATTACAGATTTTCAGGACTTGGCTCCAACAGAGGCTCGGTGCAACTTACTTTTTCCCTTGGAGAGAAGGAAAAGTTAGTCTTGTCACAACTTACATAGTGGACACACTGGATTTCAAAGACAGAGCATTTTGGCTGCCTTCCTTTTGTTCTAATTGCATGTTTCTGTAAAAGTGAATGAATGATCATGATCTTACCATGGAGATGTGGTGTGATAATGAACGTCTAAGTGGTTTAACTGATGTCAAGCATTGTGGTCCAATAGTGAATACCCACTGTATGTGGGCTGCTGTATCGAGTCAAACTGGCTGAGGCATCTAGAGTGATTTTCCGAGTAAAGCAATGAAAAAAAATACTGTAATAAGTAAGTGCAGTGATGTACATGTTCTCTCTCTTTATTTCAGGGACACCAAGATGAAGTGTTTGTTTTAGAGGCTCACCCAACAGATCCTCGCATCCTTCTTAGTGCAGGTGCACTTCATTACTTAATAATTATGCCACGTTTTCCTTTAAAGCCAATGCAAAATGATCCAAAAATGTTGTACAATGTTGGATCTTTTACAGGTTGTATGTGTAGTTTAACAAATACACCTAAAAGTAACTCGAAGGTACACTGTATTTACAATAATTTGGCAAACCTTAAGTTTTCTTTATCAGAATGCGAGATGGTGAATACTGTCAGCTTGTGGAAAAGTTATTCCAACTTTTTAGTGACAAAATGAAAGTAATATGAGACTGAGCCAGGAATAAAAACATTATTGTTATAACCCTTATCTTGGAAAGTCAGTTATACACTTGATCCCTCGAGCCAGTTTTACTCACAGAGAGCCGAGACATTAACTTGTCCTCATCTCTTGCCTTAAGTTGATAACCCCTAATGCTGACAAAGTATTTTTTCTAGATAAATACATCTTAAACCTTTCTACACGCTTTTTCCTTCTTTGCCTCCCCTAAACTTGTCTGTACTTATTGAACTGTTTCCATCAATAACTTGCTTTAATTTGTTTTCCCCTTAGGCCATGATGGATATGTCATATTATGGGATCTGAGGATTGGAGAGAAAATAACGAGCTTTTACAATTCTGTAAGTTGCCCCTGCTCTGTTTCTTCTTTTCATTTTTATTGCTGCTCTGTACATTGTAGCAGCACCTGGTGTAGACTGTGAGTGGTCGTCCTTCTTTTCTCAGAGCCATGTGCAGCGAGCGAAAAGGTTTGCATTCTACCTTGTCTCAAAGTAAAAATAAGAGACTGCTCGAAACCTACACCTGGTGGTCTCCCTATGACTTACTTTTATCGCTGGGTTACCGATAATCTTAATGTTTGCATAATTATTAATTCTATGCTAGGCTCTCTGGATTCCAAAGGCTGAGAGCTTTTGGGCTCCCTTCTAAGTGAATATCCCTGGTTGTTGGCAACAAAAATGTATAAAAAAATCTAATGGCAGGCTAGACTTGGAGTAGTCTGTCATTTTCTGCAGGGATAGTAGAGTGAGTGGGTGTAAAAACTGCCGCCAGTGAGAAAGGAGAGGATTCACACATGCGCTTGAGTACAGTATTAGCCTCCCCTAGTATCCCTGAGGAGAATGACGGACTACATGCACTTGTTGTCTAGCAGCCGCTAAATTATAAATTTTTCTTCAAAATTTTATTCAGCACTAACAACCTCTAATATTCTAATTTTTGTTACTAGTTAATTGTTTTTGCTAATATTCAAGTTACGTCACTTTCTGGAAGAACTTCTCAATAGACTGAGAACAACTGTTAACAATCCATCTTATCTATTATCCCACTGTTCTATTTTTGATTTTTGTGTTGTTTGTTAGCTTGAAGGCCAAGGTCATGGAGCTGTGTTTGATTGTAAGTTTTCATCTGATGGCCTGAAGTTTGCATGTACAGACAGTCATGGACATCTCTGTATCTTTGGATATGGCTCGAGTGACCGATACAGTCGAGTAAGTACCTTTGTACTTTTTATTACTACATGTTCTTTCAAGAATCTGCCTTTTACTTCTGTGTGATTCACATGCGGGCTAACTACTCTGACTAATACAGGTTATTACTTCTTTTACTCATTCTAAAAATTCACTCCAATGAATTTCAACAGTTAGAGCACTCGTACACCAACTTCTGGATCTTTTTACGGTTTTTTTTATTTCAACATTTCAGTTCATAAACCCTATTTTTGTGTCTCTCCACCTTACAGCATGGTGAAAAGTCCATAAGTTATGTCTGTTTAAGGGAGTTGTTTGTCTTAACAGAGTTGGCTGTTAATATAGAGTTGATTGTACTGCATGTACATGTACTGTATGTAGCATAGCTTTTATTTTCACAAACCTTTTGCTCTGTTATTGGCTGCTTCGCGGGCACATGACGTCTTTTAACCTAACAGTTTCCCGTCAAACATTTCTGCGCGTTCAACATTGCAAAGTAGGACATCAAAAGGTAACGTGTTTCTGGAGCCAAAACTCGAGTAGACGTAATTGTCATGGTGCAAGGTCGCATCCAGACTAATACACTGTGTTTGTTATTATCTGACAGGTTCCGAGTGAGCAGTTTTTCCACACGGACTACAGACCTCTCATAAGAGACTCCAATAACTATGTTCTGGACGAGCAGGTACTGTTTATACATATACTGGGCTGGTGATTAATACTCTACGCCATTTTTCAATAGCAATATTTCTTCACGCAAAGCATGATAGTTTTGTTGAGCTTGTAACAGTTATGAGAATAATCGCCTCCTTTCTCTAAAACGCCTCGTTTTGGATCCCCAAAATTAAAACAAACAAACAAAAAAACTCGCTGGGTGTCTATAAGATCATTTACAGCACACTTTTAGTAGACTTTTAGTTAAATTGTCATATACTTTGTTTCAGACGCAGACAGACCCACACCTTATGCCGCCTCCTTTCTTGGTTGATGTGGATGGTAACCCCCACCCTATCCATTTCCAACGCTTGGTACCAGGCCATGGCAGTAATGTGCGCGGCCCACCCAGGCCAGCACCTCAGCCACCCCCCACCCCTAGGGAGGATGTACCACCTCTTCTGGCTGAAATAGAAGCTGCTGAAGCTGCTGAGGCTCAGGGCAGAGTCCCCCTACCAGGTTTGTCGCTCAAGACTATTTTTGTTATGTCCATATCCATTGCACAAATGTGGAGTAACTACGAGCAGCTGAATTTTTTTAATATTTTGCAACTGATCCACATATTTGTGCAATGGATAGTTCCAGGTCCTCAAGCGCTGTTCCTTCTGTAAGAGAATTATGACGTATATATAGTTAAAAAGCGTTACGAAGTTCTAAATTTCGGAAACTTCATAAAATGTCCAAAGTGGTTTAGCCCTATCGTGTGTTAGTAGACACAGCTTCGTCCATGTAACAAACCTGGTTCTGGAGGGAGGAGATCAGGAAGCTGTATACAAAGCGATGCAGATCTTCCTTGTTGATGCATTACCATTAATTGGGGTATGCGCGTGAGACATTGTCTTTGTTGTGTCAAGGTGTGTTTCCGGTGTGGGGGGAGGAGAAGCTGTATACAAATCGATGGCGTAACCTCCACCTAGACCGGCCCATACTGCTATTTAAACCAACACCAACCTACAGTAGTCTAATATCTAAGTGCATCTCTCCAATATATTCGCAGCTCTTCAGTCCCCACCTCCCCATGGCCAGGGCCCAGTACCTCCTCTGCAGAGCCCGGGGGGAAGTCGTAATCAAGGCATGCGGCAGATGGGGGATGTTGAAGGAGTGCGATTGGTGCACGGTAACATACCCGTCATTCAGGATGTATCTGATGCTGATATTTCTGCCTGGAGAAATAGAAGAATTGTGCCTCCTAGGAAACCCAGTGTTGCTAAGTAAGTTCTTATGGAGTACATTAAGTTTGTGGCTGCGTTTTATATTAGGACTAAATTGTAAGCATTCTTTTCGACAGGCAATCACCCCAAATGCCAAGATTTGGAGGTTGTTTATGAGAAGTTCCAGTCATAGTTGTTTGACCGGGAAAACGGATTATGGCATGTGAGGTGTCACTGAGCACTTCGAGGTTTCAAAATACTTCTTATTACTGCACTCACCGAACCTTATTAAAAATTAGGATTAAAAAATCATCTCCTTCTCCTGCATTTCTTTTTTCAAGCACTTTTGGCGGAACGACGCTTATCGTAAACTCACGAAACCATACCCATGAGAAGTGTGCTACTAATAAGAAATTCCCAAACAAACACGTATAATTCGATAACAGGTGGCATGACTTTGTAACATGTTCTGTAATTCGTCGGGGGAGGACGTGGCCTTCAATCTTTATATAATTTGATTTGATTTAATTTTCTTACTCCAAGGTGTGGTGAAGAAAGACGCCTGCTGTTGGGTAGAGAAGAAATGCTGCACTATCTCAGAGAAAAGAAAAGGCGCGCTTTGCCATCAACATCAAAGAGGGTAAGAACCAGTATCCAAAATTGTCATTACATGGATCATTCAACTGTACTGAAAAAAGAATTGAGTGACGTACGCGCCAAATCAAGACAGAACTGGTACAAAGATGATGCAGTGGAGCTTTCATCCAGGGGGCAGTGTCAGGACAACTTTCCCCTGAGGGGTCCGTTTCTTGAAAGTGTCGAAAGCTGTTTCAATAGTTTTGCAGATAACATGGTCACACTATCGGTCAGCAAAACAAAGTTGACTGGTTTGTTAGCTGGGACCTGCGCTTTCATCCTTTAGATTTCGGCTACGGACCCGAAAAGTTATTGGGCCTTTTGAGAAACTGCTCCCCAGATAGGGTCTTTCCTCCAATATGAGTCATTGGTACTTCTTTCTTTCGAGAACAAACTTTGTTTCCCCCAAGTAGGCGTCCCCTGAATCTTGGTGTGACTTTATTGAACAGATAACAGTTCAAGTGCCAGAAACACGTCCTGTAGAAGAAAGGCCTAATCAAGCTGCCCGCCGCACCTCAAACCGGCGGACGGCAGGACAGCACTCCCGTGGAACACGGCGGCCTGCTTACTCCACCAGGGCTGCCGCTGCTTTAGATGTGGAGGAATCTGCTGAAGAAGAGGCAGCAGCCACGCCCAGTGACACTGAAGAGGAGGATGACGAGGAAGAGTGGTCTGAAAGTAGCAGGTGAGTTTGGAGAAGATACAGGCTCAAAAACTGAACCTGTGAACTTGCGGCTGTTTAGCCGTTTACGAACAGGATGGCCAGGATCTGATTTCTCTTTACAATGCTCCCCGCCCCCTGTCTCCCGCTCTTTAGGATTAACTAAACATAAATATCACGAAAATAAGTAGCCTTCAACGCACAAAACTACGATCACGCCATTGCTACAACAACAACCAAAATACCCTGATCGCAGGCTACTTACGCAGCCGTTCATTTTTTCGTTACACAACGGTCCTTGCCACTTCGCGTGAAGAGACACTTAGAACAGCGGTGTAGTAGACCTTTCCTCGTCGATGTTAATAGCATCATAAAGAGAACAGTGTTGAGCAAGTTCTAACGAAAGTTATTCCAATGAAAGATGCTGAGTAGTACTTTACTGAGTTTACTCTGTGGTGCAATTCAAAGCACTTTCTAACTTAAGTTCCTATAATGCCCAAACAGACATCAATGTACGTTTTTCTTTCATTAATATGTAGTGAATCAAGCGAATATTCGGACTGGACCGAAGAAGTAGGTCTAAGAACGCAACAGCAGACCGAAAATCGCCGGCCACGTCGGGTGTGTAGAGTGCTGAGTACATCTGACGAGGAAGGAGCAGAACCGTCATCGGCGACAGCAGCTCAGCCAGGACCGAGTTCACCTCAACGCCAGTCCAAAGCCAAGAAGGAAAGCAAAAAAAGCAAAAAACCCACCAAGAAAAAACGAGTACGTAACGCCTTTGTTAGCCATCTTCGTTGCGTTAAAAGAGTATCAACTTAAACGTAGTTCTCCTAGACTACGAGCGATCTCTCTTTTTCTTCAGATTTAGTGAGGGGAGTGCACACGCACGCGCGTGGTCATTTGCGTTTCTCGCGCGTTTTGCTCGATGGACCTAGGAAGAAAAAAGACTGCTCGTAGTCTACATTTTTCTAGGTCATCAACTTCTTTTTTTGCTCGGTGCAATGTTGTGATAATTGAACGAATGTCGGTGCGTCCAAATCTTACGTAAAGCTATAAAGCTTTACTCTTGCAGAAAAATAAGCACGAAAATTCCTCTCCTAACCGAATCCCACATAGATTATCATGTGGCCTTTTTGCCGAAATTTAACTGTGACTACAGACGCCTTTCTGCTACAACAGGTCAAGCTTACAGTAGCGCACGAAAGTCCCGTTTTCTCGGACTAAAAAACGACTGCATTTTCTTAAGTCTTAACTAACCTTCTTGAATATTGAAAAAGCATATAACTTATAGGTGGAACACCCACCTACATGTATCATACAGAGAAACATAACTGGGGTTGGAGTGCAAAACGGTGCTAAGGTTATGACTTAAAGCTAAGAACATATGCTCTGGCTTGCTGACAATTCTTGGTTTCTTGTTTTCAGCCATCAAAGAAGCCTAAAGTGGATGAAGTACAGGAACTGCTTACTTTGTACCAACCACCTGATTGGCTGACGTGTACAGTCAATCGTATATCACCTTATGTGCCGCAATTAGGAGATGAGGTAAACTTCATTCTTGCTCCTCTATCAGATGAAGTGGTTTTCAATTCGCCACTTTGCCGGTCAGCTATTGGCCAATTTTTTCCCCTTTTCCTAGGAATAATCCCAGAAGTCTTTGCAAAAGTTAACTCGGCCCAGTTCCCCTGTCGTATATTTGACCAATCATTGGTTTGTTTTCTCTCGTATATTTGACCAATGATTGGCTAGTGTTCAGTCTCCTTACCGCGCTCAAATGAGTAAACAAAGATGGCTGCTTTCCGAAACATTGTTGTGGCCGGATCGCCATCTTTGTTGTGGTTATGTGTGTACAAAAAGAGCTTTATCGACCGAAAAATTGCCGTAAGCGATTTGAAACATGCTTGTCTGACATCACCTTGAGTTTCTTGTCATGTTAACGTCCATTACTTGGCACACCGACGACCTGTTGAAGGATGATCCTCATTCGAAGTTCGAGTTATCAATTTCAGCCGCTCAAAATTACGTGTTCTGCGAAAAGTACGAAAGCGCAAAAAAATGGAACTTTTCGCGCCTGCGCAGATAAAAGTCTCTTGTTTGACCAATCACAACAGACAAACAAACCAATGAACTAGTGAGACCTCAAAGTGGAAGTGTGAAGCCAAATGTTTGGGCAGGAAAGCGCGGGTGGAATAGTCTTTAAAATTCATTTCATTTTGCTTGTGATTGGTTCAAAGACCTTGAAATGTTAAACCACAAACAATGATATTACTTACATGACAACGGCGGTGCATTTTTAAGTTTACCTTCCCTTTTTTTTTTGCAGGTGTATTATCTTCGTCAAGGCCATGAACTTTACGTCAAAGAGGTTATGGCTATAAAGTGTTACGATATCAACCCTAAGAAGCAATGTTACTACAAACTTAGACTAAAGGTGTGTCAGTGTGGCTTGTTTCTCTCCACTTCTAGTCTCAAGCAATCGTTATCCTTCCCGCTTGTATTAGTTAATTAATTTATTGTCCTGCTGACTTGTATATTTAATTACTTTATTTATTTATTTATTTATTGTTTTTCTGTGTTAAACAGGCTGAAGAACTGTGCCGGATTGTCAGTTTACATTACTCAGCCGGCCCACCAACCTTGTGCTGTTTAAAGCTTGGTAATATTAACTATATTCTACTCCTATGCTCCACCTTGTTTTAGTCAGTATGTGACCCATGTCTAACTAGTGTCAAGGAACTGGAAAAATAACTCCGTTATGAAGGGCTTTCATTGCTCGTTTGGTTGATTACGTGACCGAAAAAGGTTTCTCGATTTAGAGAAGAGAATTCAAAAGTCTTTGCTTCACTAGAGTTTTCTCGGGAATCTAATTTTCCGTTTTCCCAGCGTTCATGTTTAGTTCTCATCTGCCAAAACTTACCAAAGTAACTGGGATAACAGGCTACGCGGAATAGCAAGAAAAGTAGTTTGGAGACAAAGCGTAATGTTAGGGTACGGTACGCTCTATAATTTGCTGATAGAAAGAAAGCCAAAAGTAGTGGTTAACTGTTTGTTGCTATAATTGCTATGGAGATTTGCTGGCGGAGATTTGGGAGATTTTTTTGATAACTACAGCTTGTAATCGTGGACACAGTATTTGACCACACGCCTTTTCCCACGCTGGGCCGAGGCGACATTTATTTTCTCTGAAATCTGATTGGTTCATTTGTGTCTCTGCATGCTGTGATTGGCTCGAGAATTTACTTTGGCTTTGATTCTACAACACTCATTTGAGAACCGCTAAATGTTAACTTGTTTTATCTTTCACAGCGTTAATAAATCCCGAAACCGGAAGCAGTACTGGAGCAACATTCACTGTAAAGTAAGTGGAAATGCATGCCAGCAAAAACTTCTGGCGTGGACCGGGTTGAAACGGGCGCGCGTTGCAACTTTGTGAGTCTTTTTCTATAAAACTGGTTGTCTTGTCGGCACAAAAGCATTTAAGAACTTTTTTGTCCTTTTAATTGGAACCGTAGTGTCAAAGTAAGACTCTGTTTCCTTTTAGGAGTTCCCCGAGGAGGACATAGTCAAAGATGTGACTAAAGTCTTATAATGACACCTTTTGATATTAGATGCATTTAATGTAGTCTCTTTTGTTGATACTCGGCTCCAATATATATTCCTTTGATTTTGTGTTCATTGCCAGATATCATGATATGCCAGACGTGTTAGATTTCCTCATTTTGCGACAAACATATGACCAGTCAATAAGCAGGAACTGGAGACCAGGTGGGTTGGGTGGTTACATATTTTTCACAACACCTGAATTTAATCCAAAGTTATTTAATCTTGACATGGTTGTTGATGTAATACTTATGGTGCTTTGAGTTTTCTATGGTGCTATTGGCGTACACTTCTTTGGGACAATACTGGTATAGCTGTATGCAAGATTACGGCAGTGTCACGGTGTATCATTGTTGCGTGACTCTTCCTGAGGGCTTTCAAGAGTAACACCACAGGCATTTGTTTGAGGCTTATCTTCTGAAATTAACAGAACTATGCTATAGGACTTTGCCACAGTCTTACTCTTTAAGCGAGCAAACTTGCACTGTAATTCAAAATAAGTATGCTTTGTTGACACGCCTTTTATTATCTTTCTTCTCATTCGATGTAGTCACGCGTCACCAGATAACATGTAATTCGCATTACGGTCAACTCCCTTTATTGCGGACACTGTAGGGACCTTGAGTTAGTGTCCTTATTAGCGAGAGTCCGTAATAGCGGGAGTTTATTTCAGTCAAACGTCTGTAATTTGTTTTTACCGGGGATTTGTAATTTGTTTTTACCGGCTGTTGTCCGTATTATTGGGGTGTCCGTTATAGGTGGGTGTCCGCAAGGCGGGAGTTGACTGTACTATGCTCCTCTGTGAATGGTTGGTTTTCAACTGCTGTGATATGCGCTTTTTTATCCTCGCTGTTGCGGTGAGATTGCTTTCCTCGGCACTGGTCTCCTGTTATTGGGTATCCATGCTTCTGGAACTTCCATTCCACTCTCCCTGTTGATGTTGTAAGTTTTAGGTGGACGCGCTTCTTTGATCCTGTTTGTCTAACGATCAGTAAGCTTTGGAATAAAGTAAGGTGGTTGGTTGTTTCACTGTTTTTTGTCTTCACAGGTGATCGATTTCGCAGTGTTATCGACGAGACCTGGTGGGCCGGTGAAATAACTGATAGAAGTCCTTTCCAAACTGAGTTCGTGGAATCTCATTTTCAGTGCTTCACTGTCACGTAAGAAATTAAAAATAAAAAATAAACTTTTAGCTAGTCCTAAAGTTTATGACTTACGTTTCAACATCTCCCAACACTTTGTGTAATGTTTAATAAAGGACTGGCGACGTCTTTGTGAATTTTTTAACCGGAATAGAGCCCAACATGTTCAGCAGAGTTCAACATGTTGAGTGGCCTAATTTGATGTTCAACATTGAATGATACAGTGTTCAACATTTGATGAACAAGACCTGCAACATATATTGTTCTAAGATTGCAAAAGTCGAACCTGTCAGGAACCATGTCAGGAAAAGCATTTTTTTGTCCTCAAGTTTTCCCTTTTGAACTCATCAGACGTCGATGTGTCTTACACTTTTGTTTGAAAGAGTACAACAAAACTGCGCTGGCATAGCGAGTCACTCAGTGCCAGGCTTTATTTTCCTAATACAACCTCGCACCGCTCATTTCTTTAAGTAAAGTCCTGGACCTAACATATTTTCTATTGAAATGTTTACAATGTGTGGTGTTTTTAGATGGGACACGGGCGAAGTAGAGCGAATGAGCCCCTGGGATCTACAGCCTGTCACAGAACGAGGTAAATAAGTGCTTTCATTTCTTTGCTCATGTACCTTCATGTATTAAATTTCAAGTCTGCTGGGTTGGGGTAGATGCATTTAGATGGCGGGGAACTGAACTGTTGGGAAGTCATTTTACTTTTATTTTTCCTTTTTTTCCTATGATAGACCGCGGGGATAATGTTACGAGAGTTTTGACTGTTTGTTTTTTTGTGTCTGTGTCAGACCCGGGGAACCCCGACCTCTCGGCCCAAGACACGGACGCCTCAGGCGCAGCAACAAGTAACATACCCTTGACCGATGAGGAACGGCTCTTACTGGCGTATGAACCGGAAGATTCTGATTGGCTCGGTGAAGGACGAGATGCAATGACCGAGCGACTTGTTGCGGGACTCGAGGCCCTGAGTCAGCTAAATTTTGCTGGTCCTTTTGTTTACCCCGTGGATGTACATGCGTATCCTGATTATTGGACTGTAGTACCTTATCCTACTGACTTGAGCAACCTGCGAGAAAAGCTCTTAAATAAATATTATCGGTAAGACCTGCTCTATTAGCCTGCAAAGATAACCAAACCTATTAATATTTCCTTTCTGCTTGCTATCCATTCACCTTGCGTGCAGTACCTGCTTTTTTTTCTTTAGAGAGGAGAAGGAGTAAAGGAGGTTCCACCGATCTGAATCGTGTCTGGGGCCCTTTCCCCAAGAGGCCAGGAAACATTTCAGGCCAGAAGACAAATTTTAACATCCAACACTGTTGAATAGGTAGCGCAGTTGCTAGGCCACAGTTTGTTTCGTAAAATGATAGTTTCATTGTGTTATTTTCAAATTTATTGAAACTTTGATCTCGAATGCAAAGACAACAAGCACAAAACAGCCTTCCGGGCCCGAAAAGTTACCGGGACTTTCGAGAAACGGGCCCCAGGCCTTTGAAGTCGCCGAAGTCCGAACTTCTGGACTAGTTAATCTTGTCGGCATGGTTGTCACAGGTCAGGAAATGGTCAGGGAAGCAAAAAAGTCTTCAAGGTCAGGGAAAAGTCGGGGAATTTCACTTTAAGTTAAGTCAGGGAAAAGTTAATTTTTACTTAATTTCTATCCGCCGCTAAAAATCGCTTAAATCTGTGGTATTTTTTTTTCCCAGACGAGTAGCAGCTCTTCAATGGGAAGTGAAACAGCTGGAGAAAAATGCCCGACTCTATAACGAGGAAGAGAGCCAGATTGTCAGAAACTCATCCAAGCTCGTGTCTGTTCTAAATACATTCATCAGGTAGAGGACAAATTCCACTACAGTCAAATCCCGCTTTACGGACTCCCCTTTAATCAGTTTTCTTTGTCCCTGGGGAAAGCCCTTACATTTTCTCTAAATTCAACCCGCTTAATACAGACACCCGTTATTGCGGACAACGGACACTTATTTCTTACCCAATCAACAGTTCTCATAGAAAGCCAACCTCGCTAATGCGAACACTTCATTATCAAGTGGCTTGTAAAATAGACCTTTCCTTTTTGAAGCTATAAAAAGAAAGTTCTGTTGACAGCCCGTCGATGTTCCCAGCGCTACAGTACACCGGATAGGATGATTTGTAGACGTCAGATTTGGACTAATTTTGGCATCAGACGATTTATGCAGAGAACGGTTTTGATTAAGTAATTTAAAGATGAGCGATTTTTTAGTGTTTCCCTCATTTAATCCGCGGAATGACAGCTCTGTTTAGCTTTAAACCGTGTTTAACGTGTTTAAGCTTTGGTGTGAATGGGGCTTAAGATAGCTACACCGGTGTGCGGAAGCTCATAGGCTCACAATTCCTGTTGGGGACTTGGATGTTTTCTTTGTCCCTTGCTCGTTACATGTTGATCACATCATTTCTTATTTCTTCACCGTGCTTAAAATTTACCATCATTCTTTAGTTAACACACACATGACGATTTCGACATTGCTGATCCTTGCGGTACGCAGAGCGCATGTCATACATGAACCTTGTATATGGCCTAGCTTGCCACGAGTCCTTCGTAGCTCAGTGGTTAGAGCATCCGACCGGTGTACAGAAGGTCATAGGATCAATTCCTTTCTTTGTCCCGTGCTCGTGACATGTTGATCACATCATTCTCAAGACAGCTTTTCTCAGTCCTCCAGAACCCCCAAGAAAGCAAGGAACTCGATTTTGAATTCGATTTTTCCTTCTCGACAAATCCTAGTCACTCCTCTTGCGCCGAACAAAATGACAGAAAACGTGTTTGGAAAAAAAATATTATCCTAATTAACTGAGATCGTTTGATTCGTTTTAAAGGGACTCCTCCTGTAACGATATACTTTCACTTTGTGGGGATGAAGAGGCAATCGAAGGTGATGTGGAGGTATGGAAATAACTTATTGTTATAAGAAACAAATCTGATTTTCCTCATGACAGCGGTTATGTTATATTGATGCGTTGCACAAGCTTTTTCTATTTTAGAACTCACCTTTCTAATGGTTTCTTCTTATTTTATAAATTTACTTTTCGAACGTAGCTTGGACAGAAAAGCAACGGCATCTACTTTTACGTTTGTTTCTGCAGGTAAAAGTTGACAATATGTCTGAAGAATCCGCTGATGAAGGAGACACCTCCCAGGTACAACATGAAATTCCTTTTTTATCAAAATTAAGTTTGTCTGGCTGACTAACTGAACGACCAACTTACTGACTGAGTGATTGACTGACTGACTGACTGATTGATTGATTGATTGATTGATTGATTGATTGATTGATTGATAGACTGACCGACCAATCATAACCATTGCCGCTGCGATCAATAGATTTTTAATCAAGATAAGCGCTCTTAATTCAGTTTCATTTCTTTACAGGATTCCGGTGTCTCGGGCTCACGGAAAAGAAAGCGAGTGAGTAAAACTTGCCTAGTCTTATTTCATTGTCGTGAAACCAGAGGCCCAAATGTTATCATCGGCCAAGATGTTACTGTGGGGTCGCCTACTTTTTAGGCAATCTAGTTTCGGATCTATATCACCCATTTCTTTCAAAGATTCTTTCGGACTGTCTTGTGACTAGAACCAGACGCCAACCAAATATAGTTCTGTGCTTGTCATTACCTCTGAAGTCCTATACCTTTCCGGAAACTACTCACCTACCCCTTCCCTAAGCCAACATTTTTCCCCAAGTGAGAAGTGAGTGTTAATGTTGACTTAGGGGAGGGGTAGGTGGGCAGTTTCCCAAAAACGTATAATGATCCGGAGTCTTTTGATGTGTATGAATACAGTTCACCAAATGGAAGGTGCATTCTGAAACCGGATTCATATTCTCATCTAAGATTGTTTACTCCTAACTGGAAAGAAGACCGAAAATTCAATCACAGCGTCCGGATTTATAGTGGTTAACTTTACTATTTCAACTTAAGAATGAGAGCTTTGTATATGGGAGACTCTTCAGTTGTCATTAATGTTAAGTTCCATTTTCGTTACCTTCAAGGAGTCGAGTTCCGAACGTCCAAACAAACAAATCAAGAGGGAACAGCCGCCATCACCACCAGTGGAGGTAAAGCGACATATTTTTACAAAAGATTGTTTCTATAAGGACTGGATCATATCAAAAACAAACTGAAAATAATTCAATCTAATCATTTTTGGTTCGCTTACAAAAATATCCACACACATAGGCACCCGCAAGATAACGGCAGTGTTACGGCATGTTGTTGCGTGACTCTTCCTGAGGGCTTGCAAGAGTAACACAACAGGCATTTGTTTGAGGCTTATCTTCTGAGACAAAACGGAGCTATGCCATAGGACTTTGCCACAGGCCTATTCACTTACATGGTATCTCAAGTATGCTTCACGTTAATGTGTCCTATAGTGCTTTATTCCCTCCTGTCGTCGTCGTTCTTGTTGTCTTGGTTACGTCTCTTTAAAATGTCGTTATCCGACAAAGAGCTTGCAGACTTCTTAGCCTACTTCAAGCCGCTGGACTAAGAATCGCGGGCTTCTTGAAAAGCATCAGTTTTCTGATTTATCGCGTTTAATCGCGTGTTTTATCCTTTCAGCCGTGGTTGCAGTCTGCGCATGAGCTGTTAGATTTCTTAGTGTCACGTGAAGATGCAACGCCCTTCCGACATCCCGTGGATCTGAATGAATGGCCGGTAAGTAAAAACCACAAAGTGATAAACAGGATAGTCTTTCAATCATTACATTCAATGTAGTGGCTCAGCTTTCCTTGTCCTTTAGGATTACACTGATGTCGTTGCTGAACCGATGGATTTTAGCACGGTGTATCAACGGCTAGAAAACAATTTATACGAGGACCCAGAGGCTTTTGTCAGAGATGTGCGGTTAATTTTTTCCAATTCAAGAGCTTACAATACAATGCCAAGATCACGGGTATGTTTAGTGTGTGATACGTTAATACGCAATCAGGATGAGGGGGGAAATAACCTTATTCGAATAAGTTGAGCACAAATGAACAAGCTAGTTTTCATTGCAATGCCTCCGACCGAAAGACTTCGGGACTTATGCCGCTCTATTGTCAGGTGCTTCAACCAGTTGCAAAAATACTTGACGCGCCGTCCCTTATTTTGGCTCAAATGGCCTGTCCATGATCTTGTGCTTGTAATCCCGCCTCCTTCCCTTGTCAAAGTTGCCAGCAATACAAGACCATGCCCAAAACTTGGAGGAACAACTTTGAATGGAAGGGAGGGAGGGGTTGAGTGTTATATCTTTCACTTACGGGTGAGTAGCGGCGATTTGCAGTGAAAAAGGCCGGTTTTTCGTCGGAGCGTCTCATCATTACGTTCATCATTTTTGCCACTGGTTGTAGCAATTAGACAAGCGAAGAGGGAAAACACTTTATAATTCAAAACTGGAGAAGTACGTTCGTACAGAGTACGGCTAGAATTTAAGGGTGGGCATGGGGTACAAGTTTCCCCAACTACGCTTTGCGGTGTTTTGTTTTATTTTGTTTGTTTTACGTTAAGTTAACAGTAATCCAAGGTTTAGAGGTCGCTATCAGTACGTATATTACCAGCTCTACACTTAAAAGTACCGAAGCAAACGTATCTTATTTACAACCACGAAGCAAATGAACACGCCACTTTTCATGGCAATGCCTCCGACTAATACACTACGGTATTTATGGCGCTCTTATGTGCCAGCAGATAAGCACATGAAGTGGGGAAACATTTTACCATAGTTAGTATAGAAGACTGGGTATGAAAGGCAGCAAACATTAAAGGAAAAAATAACGGTGCAGCAGTTTATGTTGGAAGCTCCCTGACCGTGCACAACCCTTTGCTATTTGTTCACAAACAAATAGATTAATTTTTATTGGTCATTAAGATCAAAATGATAGGAATGCTAGTGAATGTTGTGCACCTTCAGGGCCACAAAAACATACAACAAACCAACCATTCCACTTCATTAACTTTGAAGGATGGACATGGAGCAGAAGTTACCAACCAGAGTCTAGGGGTTGCGGTGTTTGATTTGATTTGGTTCACTTTCGAACGGTCATTCAAATTTTAGAGCTCGTAGTGAATTCGTAGTAGGAGCTCTAAACTCGAAATTACCGAAGCAAACGTTTTTTTTTATGACAGCCACGAAACAAGCAAACTGATTAACCTTGTTAGTCGCTTGCTTGCCCCCTGCCTCAGTTAATATTTCTTTACATGACCTTTTTTTGCTTGCTTGTTGTTCCTGATTAATCCTTCCTCTCTTGTTCATTAGATCTACAGCATGACGATTCGCCTTTCCGCCATGTTTGAAGATCGTGTCGACAGCGTTCTTAGAGACTGGTACGAGTCTGCATCAGGAGGAGCTCGCCGTACAAGGCTGCGGACGATGCGTTTGTTAGAGTCTCATGCACCCATTAGCAGCCATGCATCCCGACAGCGTATGCCTCACTCAGGCGACCATGCTGCTTCCAGCAGCAGTAGAGCCTCGTCTTCAGGCCTAGACCCGAGTTTCGAGGCTGTTAATACACGCGAGAATAGAACTCGTTCATTAGCTACTCGCGCGGCGACAACTTCCGAGTTAGACCAAAGAAATGGCCAGCGGTATCCTTCACGGACAGAAACCCGTTCGAGTTCTCGAGCAAACCCACAATCCCGCCACGAGCGGGATGATGATAATGTTTTCGATAATGATGGATTATCAGGAATTGGGAGGTCTACAAGGTCGACGAGATCAAGCGCGCGACGTGAACTTGTTATGCGAATTCCTACTTCAAGGATTCAGCAAAGTATAGAGGAGGAAGCTGTTTCGAATGGTCCTGTCACAAGTAGGTATGCAACTCGTAGGACCTCGTCTTTAGCGCAGAGTTCTACAAGTGTTAACGAGGAAGAGTCAGACGAGGATGAGTGCGAGGAAGAGGGAGAAGAGGATGAAGAAGATGAAGAGGAAGGAGGAGGAAGTGAAGAGGGCGAAGAACAAGGAGATGACAGCGAAGAGGAAGGGGATGAAGATGAAGAAGAGGAAGATGATGAAGATGAAGACGAGGAAGAAGAGAGCGAAGATAGTGCTGACGAGTCACGCCCTCAGACCCGCCGCAAGGCGGCACGTCCTACTCATCGTCCTACGGTAACAGTACGAACAAACCGCTTGGCGGCGAAGACGAGCAATACGCGCACAAGCAGGAGTAAGCCAAGCGCGAGCTCTGCGCAGAGGAGGACTAGCGAAACTAGTGAAACGTCGCATCGAAATGACAATGCGCCTTGTAGGAGGAGTTTACGAAGGAACTCGTCTGTACGTCGTGTAAGATACAATGAAAACGATTCGGATAGCGAGAGTGACTCCGCTGGTAATGAAATCATTCGAGTGTCGAGTCGTGGTAGAATTCGTAAACCAGCCATTCGAATGCAGGATTATGTGGAGTAAAGAATGATTTGAGGCTTGGGAAATCTTCGCCTGATGTAGTATTCGAGTCTTAACTCTCCCTTGGGCATTTGAATCGTAAAAAAAAATGAGACGAGAATGATTTGGAGTGAGAAAAATGCTTGAAATTGTGGCGTAGAAGAGGAAGTTCGTTTTTAAAATTAGAACGGGGCCTGTGGAAAGAAACAAAGGATCAGACGGTTATTGCGCGAAACTGAAACGAGAAGACACAGTAACATTAAATTACTGGATGTGCTCTGCTGTTAAAGAGAGGAGGATGAGGCTGTTGATGCCTTAATATTATTTTGTTGTTTGTGGAAGATCTCAGTGCGCGTCATTTGATAAACGAAACTATTACAGGCTGTGTACCACTTTATTTGGACCCCATCTTTTGTTCATCATGCGATTACCGTTTACGCGGCTTCTCCAAAGCACATGGCACCAAAATTGTCGATTCTCAATTTTTTTGAAGGTTACTAGTAAAAATCAGGAAAACGCTTTCTATTTCGCGGAATTTTGTATGAAATCCTTTTCCCTGCAGACATAAATCATCTTTGACACTTTTTTGTGTGTCTTATTTGAGTTCATGTCACTGTTTACCGCTGGTAGAAGTATTATTGTTGATGTATTTAAGTCTTAATACAGTATTTCCCCTCATTGTTTTTCATATGGAACACTTTTCCTTGTCCTCTTTCTTCGTAATGTCTGTCAGTGAATCACGTCTAGTGGCGTATTATTTTTCCGATAAGGATTTTGAAGTTTTGTACGAAAGATTTTGCATAGTGAATTTTTGTAACTTCTTCTTTTTCGCCCCTTTATTTCTTTAATAACAAAGCCATATTGTAATTATTTCGTTAAACAATTTGATTGCCAGTTATGGTGATATTTGTAAAATAAAGCTGAAATATAAAAGGCATGCGGTAAAGTTTGTCATTCTAGAAAATTCAACTCTCAAGTTTGCGTAGTGGAAGCTCTGGTAAGCGGACATAAGAGTGGGCACCCTCGGCACGCGAAAACTGTGTCCGTAACTGGAGCTGGCAGCTTACAAGAATGGTTCTCATAAGCGGCCACTAGCAGCGTAAGGGTTATAACTTTGGGGCTGTAAAGTAACCTGTTTGTTAGTGTTTGGCTATACCGTTGTTGTGATGATCTTGTAATTCAGTCCCAAAAATAGAATTCAAGCGCTGTTTCAATCTCGTACCCAGAGTCTTCTTGCTTCTTGGTCTGGCATTGCCCCGCTGACCAAAAAGCCAGAAGACTATGGGTACGAGATTGGTGCTGTTTTGAAGTGTAACCCAATGTGTATGTGAAAAAAACAACAACAGCAACAAAAGAAAACAAACAAAACACTGAAACAGCGATTTAAAATTCATTGATTTAAAAAAAAATTACAAAACTAAGAGGCGAATGAGATTTCATTTCGGGTGTCCTGCGCTTAAGAACAAAGAGAGAATGTAACTCGTAAACCCTGAAAGTGTCTGCGGGCCGCTTACGGTCATGTAAAAACACTGAATTTGTATGGGATTTAGAACGGGATTTTGTGAAGGTGGCCGTTTGCAGAGTGTCCCTTACCTGTTTTCATCCCATGCCCTTGGAGAGACACGAAATGCCTAGCTTGCTGAAGTTATCGATTCTTTTTATTCTTCTACCATAGGGCCCGTTCAATATTGATTGAAATTCAACCAATAGACTTGGATTAACATGATTGTAGGATCAGTGTACATGTTCGATGAAAAAAGTTGGCCTCAAACGGATCCGGCAACATCCAACATATTTCATTCGTTTAAACAGGCCAAGATATAATAGGTTTCCAGTGAAAGATTCAAATGAAAACCAGCGACAGTTTATCTACGTTCAGTTAATTCCTTGACGAGTTCAAAAATTTTTGGAATTCCTTGATAAAAAAGATGGACAAACATTTTCAACAAAATGGCCGGCGTGCGTTTCCCATGCGGTAGTTTTCAAGACCAAAGTTTTGCATTAAAAGGTTGAAAATACACCGATAAAAGACTCATATGGGAAGGAAAAGTTTAAAAGAATGCTCAGTTTCCTTTCGAGGACAAACGAAAGCGTTTTCTTACGAAATTGTCCTTAGAAAGAGGAATTCAACCTTGTTTTCTTCACTTCGGTGCGCTTGGCCTGTTTTGAACCAACCAAGACAGCGAAGTTTCTAAAGAAATTTCAGGTACATTCTGTACTGTATGGTCAAGGAAAGAAAGTTTTTAAAAGGGAATTATTGTTTTTGTAAAGGTTTAATAGACGTTTGTTGCATTTGACATCGTCGTGAAAGAAAAACTACAAAATGTGCCCCGTTTTGAAATTGATTTTATTGCGGGCGACAGGAGGAGCCCGCAATCCTAATCTTCAGGTTGCTATTACGCATGCTCCACACGTATGTACCCAGCTTCGTTTGGACTTCCACTAAGAATGAATGGAATGCATCGAAGGCAATCTGTGATCACGCGCGTCACTTGTAATTTAATCACGCGTGTTTTGATCATCTATCACGTGAAACTTAGACAAGCACAGCGTTTGAGCAAAAGTGTTATGACCTTCGGTCGTCGTCGCCTGCACTCCGTAACCTTTGCTTATTACTAGTTTTTATGTTAAATTTTGCCATTTGTTTAACCGATTTTACTTGCGTGAACGGATCCACGATCTAGTTAGTGTTACGCGAATTGCAATTAAGGATTACATCAGCTTACGGGGTTTTAAATAAAAATTTTCAAGAAATAATTTATCTGTCTATCGTTCATTTATAACATTAGCTCAAAACACGATCGTGAGACTATACAGATCGTGAGATTTTTAGAAACAGTTAAGGCGGGTTCCTTGCCTTTCTGGAAAAAAGTGAAGTGTTGTTGTTCAGTATAAGTTTCCATTGAATTGTTATTTATTTTCTCCTTTCTTTTAACGACAGACTCGTCGGCTTTTCGTGCCCGAGTATGGCTTATTTTTGAAAAAAAAATTTTAAGTTGCTGTCACGTTTATAATTTGTAGTGCACTGAGTACATCGCACGTTTCTCAGTAAATGCACTGCACAACATCTGAACATGTACCGCACAGTTTGTGTAGGCTAAAGAATTATATTAATTAGTGTGGCGAAAAAGGTTATGCATATTTGCTTTCCTATGTCTGCTCTCAATGAAAATAAACACCTTATAATGTGGGGTATAAATGTAAAGGTTACACATAACCGTGTTCGTCCGAGCCCGATAACTGAGAAAACACTACCCTGCGAGCAGAAGTTTCTCTCTTGCATGGCGTTCAGCGTTTACGAAGTTATTCGCGTGGCTTGTCTGTCGCGAACGAACGACTTCGTAAACGCAAAAAGCCATGCGAGAGAAAAACCTCTGCTCGCAGGATAAGAAAACACGTAATCTTACAGGAACACAAAAGTAGTCAGAAATACTGATCCTGAAAATCGTAACAAGTAAATTGCCGCTACTGAAGAGAGCTATAACTTCGCAACGGGGTGTGATAGGGAGTTCGATGATGTAGACGAAGTTTGGGAGAATTCTACTACTATGATTGAACTTCGTTCGATTTCTGATACGTCAACATACCGTTGATGCATAATGGTTTTTTAGCTTTAAATAAGCGACTTTCAGCTTGCTGAGAGATTTTTTTCATTTCAGGTGTGTTAGCGGGATATATATATATATATATATTTTTTTTTTTTTCTTTTTTTTTCTTTGAACCCCTCCCTCTAAAGGTAAGCAGATGCCGAAGGCTTCTAAGGTCTAAGTAGGGATTTGAAGGTTTCTTTTTGGTGGCTTGGAGCTTGTGAGTTCAAATTTGATGGCTTTTATTATAAGTACATACACGGAGCTTCGCTTTTAGCCCTGGCTAAATCTATATTTTAAGTGATAACTGTATGCTATTTTGTTCTGAAAGTCCTTTTCATGCATCTCATAAAAAATTATGTATATTCGGTTAATTACAAGTGCCACCATCTAAATCAAAGTTGTGGGCAGGGGTCCAGGCAGGAGTTTATAACTTTTCAAAGCTTTGCTGCCATTCCTTGTCTAATTAATACTGTTCTTTAAAGTTTTGCGGAATAGAAGAAAATAAGTTTAATAGGAGCAAGGGGAAACATATGCAGAGCCGGTATAATTTTCACAGTTGCAGACGGATGTTTTAAAAGTAAAAATTAAAACGCATATATCACAGCCAAGGCAGCATTGGCAAGCAAATTAGTAATAAGAACATTTTGCTGGAACGCCTTCATAAAGGACGTCACACTTGGAATAGATTAAAAGGCGGTCTAAAGAAAAGATTATCACGCATAGCTCAAAGAAGAAAGACGTCTGAAAAGTTAATAGAGGGGTGAAATACTAAACACAACACCAGCTGTATTTGTGGTTATATTTGCGCGAGTCTGGAAGTGGTCAGTTCAGTTCTTCTTTCGCGGCGCAGAGATATACTTGGTCTTTCAACGATAATAAATTCTAAATGATTTTTTACGAAGATGATTCCTCAGCAGTTCGTAATTACAGTTGCTTTAGGTTTTTCTCTTATTTCCTTGCAATACGCTGAAGGTCTGAATTATGTCATGATCAATATTTTGGAATTGAACCAAAGTAGTGCAGATGACAACGAAACGTCAGTAAACAACCCTTGCGAGGATGACATGTCATCCTTTGAATTTCTACTGACGGGAAATGACAAAGGCGTCTCAAATATGCCTCCTGATACTGCAAACACGACAGATGTACAACCACCATTCGGCTCTCTTCCACCAACGCCAGCAAATGATGACGGCGTCTCAGATTCCCCCCCTGTTCATACCGCGAACGTGACAGATAGACCACCCACATTCGGCCCAATAGGGACGGTACACAGCACTCAAGATCCTTCCACGATCATCCCAACATCCACTGATGAGAGCGTAGCAACCTTTCCAGCTGAAGCGCCAGTTTTACCAAACTGCAACCCACCACTTTGCTCTCGGGTAATCAACATAACATGGCTGTCTTTGCCTCCTTTTATTTTTCAGTCTAATGACAACACCGATGTAAAAACCAAGAAATCAGATGGCAACCTCACGGGTGTATTTTACAGCATTATTGGGCGCCGTTCAGTATTGTTGCAAATATCTGGACAATAAAGGTACTCGTCTCCAGTATACCGACAAAGCGGAGAATAAACAAACACGACATGCAAATATATTTCACGATGAAGCTTCCATGGGAATGCCAGTTTACATTGAAAACGAGTCCTTTGATATCCACTATGAGGTCAATTGGCATTTATCAAAGTCCTTGAATCTCCCGGGCTGGTTGTGATTGGGAACAAAGATAACGCCAAGGAGAGTGATGTGAATGTCCTTTGGAAGGCAATTTATGACGAATGGCCGATTGTCTTCCTCTCATTGTTGTTATGCGCTATCTCTGGCATTTTTATCTGGGCGCTAGTAAGTACAACCTTATCATAATGTACACCATCTTATATTAGCCGAAATCCCTGATGCCCGAAGGCCCTTTATTTCCAGTTTTCTGGATGGCGAAATTTCCTGGCTACTATTCGTACTATTCGTAACTTCAGCTCCGATGTATTTTACAACGTTACCTTAAGTACAATGGAACCTCGATATAATAAACTACTATACGACGTCCTCGGTATAAGGAACGACTTTATTTACCCCAGTAATAGTAAAATATCTGCAAAAGAACCACGATAAAGTGGAACCTCGATTTAAGGAAGGGCCACGGGACTGTCAAAATTTGTTCGCTTTAACGAGGTTTCGTTATATCAAGGTTTTTTTTCATATATATATATTATTACTGGGGTGAAG